AGGATGAACCACATTCATCAGAACCATCAAAACAAACATCAACGCCGTGTCGAGAACATACATGAAGATCTCATGATGAATTAGATACCCATCGAACCCCTGCGCAAACTCCACCATCCGAAAGGCACTCCGGATGAGAATGAGCCCGCTAACCAGGTACAGCACCCAGAGCAGACCCTTCCAGCTCCTTGCCCAGGGCACCTTACCAGAGGTACCCGACCTCTGTGAACTGGCGAACCGAAAGTGAAAAATACAAACCACAAAAACAAAAACACCAAAGAACAGAAGCTGAACAGCCAGACCAGCGACGATGATATACGTGCCGATATCTTGGGAGTTTGCCGAGCCGGCGGACATGACTCCCCCGCCTGTGCTGTCAGCAAAGAATGTCTCGCAAAGGGTAAGAGGGTACTAACCAGCTCCCTGGAGGATAAACGAGAGGATATCCCCCGCCACAAAAGTCTTGGTCATCCATTTCACAGGAACGGGACTTAGTCGTTCTGCGTGGAGGTATCGGATCACCCGACCAAGGATCATGTAGATCGATGCTGCGTAGAGCGTTGGCGCCAGCAGGACCAGAAGTGTCTGGATGGCGTAGAGCGTAGTAGAAGTCTCAAAGAAGTGGGATGCAGCGCGGCATCCGTAGCCGGTGACCTGGACTGCGTCTGGTCAGTGGTGTATGGATGGAAGTGCTGCAGACTTACAGAACCCGCCCACGATGAATGGGTTCATGTACTTTGACCCGGCCTTGACGCGCTGGTATAGATGTGCCAGTGTTGTGATGTTGAACAAGACTGAAAAGACGATTGCTGCTGGTAGAGAGGGCTCGTAGTGATAGAGGACGAAACTGTTGTTGGATGACATTTTGTCTGTTTGGCAAGGATGTGATGTCAGGTTGTGCTGAGAGGATAGTGAACATTGCATTGAGCTATGGGATGTTTATATACAAATTTCTATCAATTATATACAGTATACAACGAGATGTCCATGGATTTTTGGTCTCGCGTTCGTACTCGGGTACGATGGCATCCCAACATAGAAATGCATGAAGCCTTGGTGCTTGGGCGTATCAAAACTCAATTGATAGCCAGATTTGCACTTTCAATCCGATAGGCTCTCAAGTATCAATATTTAGGCAACCCTCATTTTCATGCCGGTCAATTGTCTTTTGACGAGAGCGGGGTGTCCTTGTTCCCGATCCGATCTGATTCAGAATGGCCCCTACAGGCAATGAATCGGCTGTAATACTGCAGCCTTGGACTCCTATCGGGGTAATTAAGCCTCGAACAAAGTTATTCTAAGTTCTGTGGCTGGTCCGTCGAAATTAGGGCAGATCCTCAAGTGAAGATCATCGTTACGAAACAACCCGAACCCGAATCCGAACCCGAGACAGATTTTATTTGGTATTGGCACCGACTATCATGAACGAAGCAAAGGGCACAAACTCAGTATCGCTGATCTTCAAAGTCATGTTTGGTAGTTCAGGGACGCGATGATGCGATTTCTGTCAATGTATGTTCTCAGCGTTGCAACTGTCCCTATAAAAGGCGTTGTTCTCTGAAAACTGGTCAACACCAACACAATCAACCAGCGATTCTTCATCGCAATGTCTTCTGTTCGCTTTCTCACTCTTTCTCTGGCTACTCTGGTGGCGGCTAATTGGAACACCTCCGTTACAGGAACTCCATGCGCCTGTGCACAGCTTGAGTCGTTCTACCCGGACAAGCTTCTCTTCCCATCATCTGCAAAGTACACAGTCGAAGCTACCAGCTACTGGGATATCCGGAGTGATCTTCACCCATCCTGTATCTTCCTCCCAACTACTGCTGAAGAAGTTGCGAACGCCGTGAAGATCCTCACCCACTGTGACGCGCATTTTGCCGTCCGCGGCGGTGGACATATGAATGTACGATGCCATCTCAACCAAATACTCATTACTGACATGGACAGTTCCCTGGAGCCAACAACATCGACAACGGCGTCCTAATCGCATTGCCCGGAATGGACCAATTTACCGTCCACAACGAGACCATCGACGTCGGACCAGGCATGACCTGGTACGACGTCTACTCTGCCCTCGACCCCTACGGACGGATCGCCATCGGCGGCCGTCTGAAGACCATCGGCGTACCAGGCCTCACTCTTATCGGTGGCGTGCATTATTTCATCAACAAGTACGGATTTGCCATGGACAACGTCGTCCGGTACGAGGTGGTGTTGGGGAACGGGACGCAGGTCGTTGCATCGGCGAACTCGCACCCGGATTTATTCTGGGCGTTGAAAGGAGGGGCGAATAATTTCGCGATCGTAACCAAGTTTACCCTGAAGACATTTGCGATTCCGAAGATTAGTACCACAATCCAGAGCTTCAATGAATCCGGGATCTATGATTATATCACAGCGTTATGTGATCTGGTCAAACTTGATGAGCCGAATCCCATCGCGGCAGGGGGTGTCTTCACGATCGATTACAATGCGACGACGAAGGTGTCTTCTGCTTCGCTGATTGGGGTGCAGGAAGGCGTTAGCAGGCCTCCATCGCAGTTCACCAATTTCACTGCCATCCCTGGCGTGTCAAAGGCGCACAATGTGACGACTGGGAAACAGTTTGCTTCGGGACTCGTTACCCCGAATCAGATGTTCCGGTAGGAAGCATTCCTTTGAACCTTGATATTCAATGCTGATGGCGATAGTGTCATGTTCTCTCACCATACAGTACAGCCTGATCCCGAGACCCTCTACTCCATTTATCAAGCGTGGAAGACAGCGGTCGATGAGATAGCCGACGTGAAAGGCCTCTACCCGACCTTTGTCATGAACCTCTCTCCAGCAGGCGCAGCACGAGTAGGCAGGACTAATGGGATCGGAAATGTGTGGGGCCTGGACGAACAGCCCATGATATGTATGGCCCTGATTTCCTGCTACGGCAATCACTAATGTATGCTGCAGGGTGGCAATTCAGTACAGGCTGGGATCTCGCATCTGACGACATCCGCGTGCAGACCTGGTCGCGTCGACTCACGGAGTCTCTGCACACCATTAACAGGAAGAAAGGGACCAGCTCCGAGTTTGTCTATATGGGCGATGCGGGCGAGTGGCAGGATCCGTTTGCGGGGTTTCCTGAAGCCAATGTGCGGCGGATGAAGGCAGTTAGAGCTGCCTACGATCCTCTGAGGACCTTCTCAAGGCTGAACTGGGGTGGGTTCAAGCTTGGGTTTGACTAGCCAAGCTGCCAATGTTCACTTTGGCTTTATCGTGTTGTCGTATTCGGAAACATTTCCCGAAGGGGTAATAGTCTTGGGATGATCGGCGCTCGGATTCGGGTTCGTGTTCGGGGTCGCTGTCGACCAACTCCTTTGCTTCATTAGTTCGAGCTTGAGCCAGTTATAGTCAAGATGTATAAATATGCCGTTGTAGAACGTTATTTCAACACCACTCTGCAGGCTGCCGCCGCGAATCTATACATCATCGTTCAATTTCCATTCTCATCGGCTGTACACAATGATAGCAACCAGTACAACTACCAACCCTCCCCCTAAGCAAGACATACAGACAGAGCTCAACTACTGGGGAGGGACCAATGACCCAATAATCATCGACTTTGCTAAACCCGACGGAAAAGAGAAATTCGCAGAGGTAGAAAATAAACAAGCGAAGCACCCGGTCCTCATCCACGACATCCGCGGTACCGAGGATCAGTACACACTAGAAACACACGGATTCCAATACTTCCACGACGAGGTCCCCGAGCTGGACGACTGGACCGACGAGCGAAAGGTCATCGACACCCTTATCCCCAGGTCGGAAGAGCTCGTCCGCAAAATGTACGAACCCTTCACCACAACAATGCCACCCTCTAACCCGAATGGAACAGAACCGGCGCCAAAGAAACAATAACCTTCACCCACCGCATCCGCTGCTTTGCGTCCGACGACGCAAAACTAGCCGACAACCGCGCTCCAGCACACAGCGTCCACACGGACTTTACCGTCGCAGGTGCGTTGCGACATCTCGAAGCAGCGGTCCCCGAGTCGGAGCGCCTCAAGCAGCTGTTAAGTGGTCGAGTCATGATCATCAATGTCTGGCGACCACTGAAGACCGTCCATAGGGATCCCCTCGCTGTCTGTGATTGGCAGTCTACCAACCCGCAGGATATCATCCCCTTTCGACTGGTCCTCCCGCAGGGCTGGAACGAGCTCAGCAAGGTGCAATACAACAAGGATCACCGGTGGTACTATCTCAGCAACCAGCAGCGTGATGAGCCGCTGGTGTTTAAGCAGTTTGATAGTGGTAAGGTGGAGGAGGGAGGATGTACGCTGCCGCATAGCGCGTTCGAGCATCCTTCAATGACGGAGCATGAGCCTCGGCAGAGCATCGAGATCAAGATGTTTGCTTTTTTGTAGATATTGTGCTGGCCTCAATTTCTGCTTCAAGTGATCTATGCGCGTACACGTGGCCACAATTTGTAAATCAATAGTTATTCATCTCAGCTGAGTCACTAGTCATATATCACATTACCACATCCGCATGAATTTGAATGGGCCAAAGCCCAGCTGCATGACGCCGGGGCTGGGCACTGGGCTAGTCGGACCACCGTGCACCTACAGACCTGTAGGACAGCGACACACGAGAGGAACGAGGTACTCCTTTCAGAAAGTGGTTAGCTGCTCATGATTAGGAATTAGGCGCTGTTGTGACCGCAAGTCGCTTTTGCCTCGCGAGTTCCTCAAATTGGTTCCTTTTGTTGGAATGGTACTTTCCTTTCTTACAATGCGGGAGACTTGTAGTCATAAACATGATGCCTTACATTCGATCACAAATAAGGTATACCAGTATACTCAATTCAGCCTGTAGAAAGCCACAGAAACTCCGCCTTGGTCGCTAAGGCCAGTTTTGTTTCTGTTGCTCCACGTAACACTATACGACATTCGGAGGTAACAGATAAGTATGTAGGCAAGCCCCCCGCGGCTCATCGATGCTTGGGCTGGACGACCAACTTTTCAAGAGTAGCTGTAGCACGCGCCAATAGGATTGATTCGAAAGCAATCATCACAATTATAGTAGTAGCAGTCAGCGGGCTCGACACAGAGACTAGCCCAGTCCGCACATCCGGGAGCTTTCTTGTCGAGAGGAGAACGCGCTCTCTTGTTGGACACGGCTGGGGAATCCCCGCCAGCCATGACCCGATCAAGCTGTGCGGCGAACGAGCTGCGGAGTTCAGCCTCCTGTGCAGCAGTCAACTGGATCTCATCCAGGACTTCGCCCTTTCCGTTGACGCTCTGGATCTTATGTCCGGTATTGCTGAGCTGGATCCTGCCTGGAGAGTCGGGGTCTCGGGCAAGGCCCTTGTTGGAAGATTGTCAGCCAATTGCTGTCAACGAAAGAACCTGAATATAAAGCTGTTAATTTGATAGCAACTGCTATGTCTGGCTGGTGCTCGAAAAGAGATCCGAGGGAAGGGGTGACGGCCAACGCGGCGAGTAGAATGCCGGAGAATGGAACCTTCATTGTATTCAGTAGAGGGACAGGCAGACGAAAGTGGAAGAACGTGAGCGTCTATCGGGTTTCTAAGCTCGGGTGGTCGGATTCATAGGTTTTCCGAGTTTACAGACTACGTTTTCAAGACACGATCTCTTATATATATGTATTTCAAACTACTATACGTAACGAGGTTTGACTCTCCCCTCTCGCTATAGGCTAAATCCTCAATTTGAACATTCCGAACACGCCGTTCTTGTCCCGTTTTACTTTGAATGACATTGGTCCTAGCACAAGGACACTAACATTGGTACCATGCATATGCCATGCCTTCTATATGCCTATTAAGGATAGTAAGACTTTGGGGCGACCGCCGCCCAGACATAATAAGACAGTTAGACTACAGGTACAGACAGTTAGACCTTAGAATGACGCTAAACGCGCTGAGAAACGTGCCAAGGAACCATTCATGGTGGGGACTCTGGTGAGTATCATTATTATCATCAGCATCGCATGGTCATAGTTAATTTAAACCCCGCATGGCTGAGGTACTAGTCTACTAGTCTACTAAGCCTTCTACCCTCCTTGATCAATCGGGTCGCTTTCCCCCGAGAGGGTTGGTTTCACCTGATGTTAATCGGCAACTGGGTGTGCCTCATAACCTACTCCATACATTTCCTTCACAATTTCGGTACGAAGTGACTCTCGCTCTGGTTAATCTCTCAGTATCTCGCTTGCGCTGTACCTTTTGCGTCCGGCGGGCATACAGAACCAAATGGTCTACGCTTACGCGTGACCAAGTGAGTAATTTCCGTAATTAGCCAGCTCGGGAGCCGCTTTTGGATTATTAATATACTCGGTGGTGCTAGAGGATAGAATATAACAGGCAGTCTTGGTGCTTGGCAGTTGGTTAGTCTATGTATGTAACCAAGTTTGTACTCCTCCGAAGATCGATCCGAGACCCTTTTGGGCCGGAAATCTGAATCCAACCACACTTACGCATCTCGACGCTCAAGCCGCCCCCACTTGGCGCGGGCCGTTAAGATTAATAACTTAACCTAGCTTTACTTAACGACACTGGTGTTCGTTGAGATACAGCGGCCACCAAAACCTACTGATACCACTCCAACATGAGTTGCTGGGTAAGCGATATTTGTGATAGAAACCATCTTCTATCACAGCCAAGCCCAGTTTTCCCAGGCACTCAGATCCTAACACGATGACTTGCAGACTCTCCCAAGCTTCGTGAAACGCATGAAGCGCGATCCCACTGGCAGGGGATGCACCCACCTTGGCAAGGATGGTGTCCTGCGGACCCTCTCGGGGGACTACGAGGTCCTCGACGCGCGGGGCCTCAACCCCGAGGAGATCAAACAGATTTTGGATACTATGCCCCCGCAGATGGCTCGGATGGTTCAAAAGGAGGACTTTCGTGACGTGGACGGTACAAAGGTTACAAGTGAAGAGGCACTATTCCATCCAGCGCCGGGTATCCTGCCGACGAAACCGAGCGAGGAGGAGGCTACAGAAAGACGGAGGCTGGTGAAGCAGAGTCAGGAGGCCTATTTGCAGGCCAAGAGGGAGCAGTGTGCGGAGCTGGAGTAGCGATCGCCGGCGCATTTGCTATATCAGGCGTCGTCGGGAGATAAGGAGCTCAAGTCGAACGCATAATGTGTATTGTACCCTAGGTAATTTATTCCGGGGCAAGACTGGAGGAATTCCATTAAAGTACGTATGTGACAGCAGTGGGACAAGCTGTGGGTGCCCCCGGCCTTATTCAGAAGGCATGCAGTCTTAGATCTCAAGCACATTGTTCATGCATTATGACTACGTCGTAAGAACCCTATATTGACTAATAAGCTCCCTGGCAATGAGTCATATCCTGACGTTAATTTAAGGATTACCAAAGTCTCTAAGACTGGAGACGACTCGGTGACTCATGACATTATATGTGACCTGGTCCTATAAGTATGAGAATCCTGTTCCTCGAAACAAAGGAACTACACTTCATAATACAATGATAGATATGAGCTAAAACAAGCTACTGTACTGGTCGAAGACACTATACACTTGGAGTATACATTGGGTATCTATGCTGATCTTAAATTTTCGTTTACACAGATAACAAGGGCAAAATCTTAAGACATAGTACACTCCCTGGAGTTTTGTGGTATACAGACCCTTATATTGTTGGATACACAAAGACTAGAGCCCTAACCTCAATACTCTCCCTCGAACGTACCCCATTTAGTGTCTCTGGTAGTGGAAAGGATGTATGTGGGACATCTAGCAATGTGGTATTCTTTGTTAGACTTGTTCCTGTCGGCAAGATCGGATGATGGGATAGGGTAGATGGTTGATGGCCACTTACGTTTTACACTCCCCTCCCTTGAGTCAAAACTTTTGAATAATAGAATGTCTTTGTCACTCTGCCTACTCATATAGTACCAATGAAACGGCTTCGTCGAATCATATAGTGCATACTGTACTGTGCCTGTATAGTGGCCGCGGGTGATATCTACCCCAATTAACCTCGATGTATCAACAGAACGTCCATCGCAAACAGCAATGGGACATTCTTCAACTGGGCCATTAATTGGCCGCCAGATGCTATAATCATTCAATCAAACAAGTCAGCACATAATGTATAGAAAAGTACGGAAAAAGACCGTTAGGACTAGAGAGCTAGGGTTGCTTTGTCTCTTCTTCACCCACTTTATCATTTGCACTCGGCCAGAGAGAAGGTGCTGGGCCTGTTCAGGGAGATGGCTGCGGATGCGTTCCATCGTGGGTGTTTGGGGTTGATCTACAGTTAGGAGCGTGTCTTGCCATATTTAGTGTTTATATGGATTGAAGGCGAGGGTTTGTATAGATAACTCACCTACGTGGACTTGTCGAGCTCGGCTGAGCAATTTTCGATTTTTAGCCTGCCGGTCTTTTGCGCTTTTCTTCTTCCTTAGCTATCAAAGAAATCATGAATAGATGTTAGCGAGAAAAAGATAATCCCAAACATAAGATGCGGCTTGTTACCTTCCAGTCAAAGATGTAAACCTGATCCACTCCCTTGATCTCATTCCTTATGATAGCTTCACATTCAGGCAAGAAGACCTTCTCGACCTGTTCTGCATTCCAGAAATCGCTGGGCCCCATTGATGATGATGGATACTTGCGATAAACGAACCCATTCATCTCAAGACTGAACTCCCCGCCCTGTTCCTTTGTCCCCCGAATATCTCGAATAAGTTCTTCGCTGTCCCCTTTCTGAAATATCAGATTGTGTACCGGCTTCTGTGCGTTTTTCTTTTTACGGCCGAATTGGGCGATGCGATACGGTCGTGTATCGTTGTAGATAGACTGCCATTGGAGATATGTCAACTTGACATTCACATCTGTCGACTGAGAAGACATTATGAATTCATGAACAGGTATGGTTTGGATTAGTTGTGGAGGACCTATTCCACATATTAAATAGGTAGCTGGTTGAGTCACATTTTCCATAGCAGCCTAGGCTAGTATAACTAGTGTACTAGGGATTGCAACTAATCTTGTGACGGATACTACCTCATGGGTTCTAGACTGACCGGCGTCTCTCAGATTTCAATAGTAGACAGGGAATGGGCACGCTAGATGCTAGGTCCAGCAGCCACTTTGCCTATTGCGAAGAGCCCCTCAGAAAGAGCAGTAGTTACAAGTCATAGTCATACTCTAATCACCAAGGGAAATTTACGGGTCCTCGTTTTAGAGCCACAATTTCATGACTGGAGACTCCAATAGGAACAGAAGCACTAACATTACGCCTATTCTCAACCACCATAGCTTTGATTAGCTTATGGACAGTACTCAAGTATAGATTGATTGTGTCACTTGCGTATTGGGTGTAGCAGTAAGGTCATATGTGCTTCTTGACAATGCTGTCAACCCCTGCGGGCTGAATGGGTAAGAATATTCCGTCACTATTCATGTGTTTTCCTGTGAGTATCGCGTTTTCCTGGTCAACGCCGGCTATGGTATGGAAGGTTCTTGCAGCAAGCAATTTAAGATGTTCTTCAATTTTTCTGCTTGAATAACCTCTCAAGTTGACCCCAATCCGCAAAGCGCTTCTTTCCCGCGACACACAGTATAAAGAACCTTATCCCATCTCCTTGTGCCTACCTACCCCGAGACAGGAACATACCTCTTGATCATTGACCAGTGAGGAACACCAAATATCAGTAGGGTAGTCAATTCCGTAAATCCAGCAGCTTCGTACAGCGGACGCCCAGCAGGCGTAGCAACCAGATAACAGTCTCTCTTTGCTGCGGCAGCCCGCTGTACGCCCCATTGTAAGAGCATCTTGCCAATACCCCTCCGCCTATGACGCGGGTCCACCGCAATATAATCGAGATCTACGCTGCTTGTATTAGTTTACTCTGTGGCTTCGCAGCTAGACTGTGTGAGGTGCACCTACGCCACACATTCTTTTTCATCCCGGCGCCGAAATGCGCACGGGCATCTTCAGCTAGAATCCGACGCATTTCAGCTAATGCGGACTGGTCTAAGCCTGCGTGCGCATGCGCAGCAGGTTCTGGTTCTGGTTCGTGGGGTTGGTGCGGTGCGCAACGGGGAGAAGGCACTGGAACATCCCACAGCGCAAAGCCAACAATCTGCCCTTGCAGAGCATCATCTACGGCTACCATCAGAGCAGTCCCGTCAGAGTGGAAGCTCGCAGACTTGCGAGCGGCTCGCCATTGTCTGCATGCTTCGCCAGCTGGCATGTCCGTCGGTTGAAGGTCAGGTGGAAACAAGCGTCGGGATATTGCGTCTGTGGTGGGATTGAAGGCTGCTGCTGCAATATTTGCAATCATCTCTAGATCTGCCTCTCTTGCGGGGCGTATAGAAAGCGCCATTTTTCTATTTGGCAGTTTCTCGGACAGTTTTTCTCAGACACGCGTCATAGCATTCCTGGACGTGTTTGCAGCGGACTGAAGACAGAAGATTACCGGAGGACATGGTGTCTAGAGGGATGGTCTCGGAACATAAAGATCGAGGAAATCCAGGCAACTACCCCGCCTCGTATTTCCCCACTGTTTTCCGCACTTTCCAAGACTTCCATGGTAACAGACAGTGACCCAGCAGACGGCGTATACTCCAAAGCTGAATATGAACAGGGCAAACAGAAAAGATTGAGAAGAGATACGGCATGTAGATTCCATTACAGGAAGACAAGAGTATTCTATGAGAGGAGATGTAAAATCAACCCAACACCGCGCTGCCGGATATAGTACATAAACCTGACAAAAGCCATCAATCAGACCAGACGAATTCCGTTCTTCTCCAAGTACTGCTCAAACCGCTCTGGAAGCCCTGACGGTTCTGCAACAGCCACATATGTGTCAGGTCTGATGAGGTAGGCTGCGTCTCTCGCGAATCCAACCGCTTGATACTTCCCATCCCAGGGGAAGACATGCAGAGGCACACCCTTTTCGCGACACCAGTCCTCCATCTCCTGCTTCGAATCCCCATACACATGGATCTGCCATGTAATTTCCTTCAGACTGTCAAAGTTATCAACGTCCCCCACAGGCGCCCACGGGATCCGATCGCCACCGTGTACATAACCCGCCGTACCCGCAGACAGAGCGCTGTCGCGATAGTTCAGCATGATTTGCGACGCGCCTTGAAACAGACGGTGCCTAACCCTGTTAAACCAGGTCAAGACGGGCAGGACGGTGGGTATGACCCAAGTCCGGATGAAGTTCGCTACGTATCCCTTGGCAACGAGATTGCTGAAGCCCCGGTCCGTAGTATTAACGAGGGTACTCGCAAACGCACGGCGCTCGGGCTCGTAGCTGTCCAGCAGCGACGCATCGGCCTTTCTGTGCACCACCGCTGCAATCTTCCAGGCGAGATTGATCGCGTCGCCGATGCCTGTGTTCATGCCCTGTCCGCCGACAGGACTGTGGATGTGGGCTGCATCACCTGCGAGGAACGCCCGGCCCTTGCGGAAGCTGGCTGCGAGGCGATGGTGCACGCGGTAGGTGGTGAACCAGTTGACTTTGTCGATCTGCAGTCCCATGTTCTTGATCGTGGTTGGTAGGATGTCGTCGAGCGTGAGTTCGGAAATGTCTTTGGTTACGTGTTCTTCGTCCACGGCGCCCGCGAGACGGGCCTTGCGGTTTTTGTCGTATGCGAGAGATAGCATGAATTCGGATCCATTGAGAGAAACGTGTGCCTCGCCGTTCATCGTTGGCCCGCTGCCCTCGATATCTGTTACATAGAAGAGCTGGGGGTACGTTGCACCTTCGAAGGCAATGTTGCAAACATGACGGACGGCGGAGTGGGCGCCATCGCAGCCCACGATGTACCTTGCTTCACAAAACTCTGTTTTCTCTGCTGAATTTGGTTGCTCGGTTGTGTATTTCAGTTGGGCCAGGATGTACTCGTCGTGCTCCTCAAAGTCGACCAATTCCCAGTTCCGTTGCACTGTGATCCCCATAGCATTCAAGCGGTCTTCCAGTAACCGCTCGTGGCGATCCTGAGGATATACATGAATAAACGGGTACGGGGTCAAGCCCTTGCCAACATCACCGATGGGTACATGGGCCCGGTGGGTACCTTCAGTCCAGATATTGGTAGCTTCGATTTTGTGGCCGTTGGCGACCACGTCGTCGGCGAGGCCTAGCTGGCGATATAGCTCGAGTGGACGAGCGTGGACCACCAAAGCCCGAGAAGTGGATGGTTTGGCTTCTTGCCTGTCGATAATGCGCACTTTGACATTCTGGCGGGTGAGCCAGAGGGCGAGCACCAGGCCAGTGGGTCCGGCTCCGATAATGAGAACTTCGGTACGGGGAATCATTGATAATAAACTTGTCAAATGCTTGTGCTATGATGGACAGATATGCGGGTGTACCATGCTCTTAAATTAAGGTCGCTAAGTTGCGGAGGTTATAAGCGCTATGCGTCATCAACGGGAGTTTTCGGGGTGTTGCTGATGCAATATAGCTCGTGAGTACATCACGAGTCTGAACGAATTTGACTGACTCATGCAGGGCGCAAGTAAGCTATCTATTTTTATTTCAGATTTCATGCATGATAATATTATTCGCCAAGGGTTACAATGCAGGCACAGCCTATATTGTGGATGTTCCCAAGTAGTCATGACTCGCGACCGGAAGATGCGGGCTATTGTTGTATTAATTATTGTCCGGCGAGGCACCGTTAACTGTGCTTATAGAACCCCCCACGAGGTATAGGACGCGGTAAGCAATTAGAATATTATACTAGCAACTGTAGGGAGCAACTCTTGTTCAAGCTATGGCATTAGCCGGTTGATTAATATCTGCCCCGACGTGAGGGTGATCTTAGGGTGTGGTAAGCCCCAGAGGCCATAAAGGAGTGAGAATTAGACCAGTCCTCTTCCCAGTAATGTTTCAGTGAGATCACTGATCCTCAACGTACAGACGGCCACCTTACTTTGTTATCTATAGAAATCTGCTCGTTCAGCGTAAAGGTATGTGACCCCTTTCTATTCTCTAGCTTAAGGGGAACAATCGAATCAGCAACGAAGGTATAACGAGATTAAAGACTTGACCAACGATCTGAGCAGTAAGCAATCTATGAAGGATTGACAATGATTGGACATATTATCGCTTTGACACCTCCCACAAGGACATAGAACCAGCCTCTAACCGCTTTTCTACCAAATCACCCATGATTATTAGCGAGTTGCAACGTGCGTTATTGTGCTCCACGATGCTTAGATGAGCGTGCTCTCAACAGCAGCCAGAGTGCCGTTCTCAATGGCCCCAGCGTGGTGACGAGCAACCAATCCGTAAGCGTATTGGTACCTAGTCACAGTTAGACCGATCTGAAAAATGCCGAATGGCGCAACTTACTTGTCCAGGTAGGGCAGAACCTGGTCCAGGCCAGGGGTGTTTCTCCAGTCGCGCATCAGGTCGGTGACGACGCCAAATGTGCCCATGAGGGTGACGCCGGCCTTCTCCATGCGACGGTTGGCATCGGCCGCCAGCTTGACGTCAAAGGTACCGCTGGCCTCGGTGTTGGCGAAGACCTCGTATCCCTCGTCGATGAGCGAGAGGGCCAAGAAGGCGGTGCCTATCTCGTTAGGCTCGTTCTGCCTCAACGCTGGAGGTAAGACGAAACTTACAAACTTCAGTGACAATACCGCCGATAATCAATTGTTTCTTGCCGGTGGCCTTGACGGCCGCGCGGAACTCGGCATTGTCCCAGGCGTTGACCTCTCCCTGGCGATGGACAATGGTCACATTGGGGTTCAGGTCCACGACCTCCTTGATCATCAGTCCGTTGGGACCCGCGTCGGAGGAAGTGGTCATGACGACGGGCAGCTCGAACAGGTTGCCCAAGGCGGCGTGGGCAAGCATGTTGTTGCGGAAGTCGTTGGTGTTGAAGTCGCGGACCAGCTGGGCGAGACCGACTTGGTAGTCGATGACGAGAACAGCCTGGTTGGGAGATTAGTAGCTGGACAACCTGGGATAGGGACAAAGGGAAATACCGCGTTCTCCTTGTCCAGTCGGTTCCAGGCTTTGACGGTCGTGGAAGCCGCCAGGAGAGAAATAGTCTGAAGGGCACTGATGAAACGCATCTTGTTGATATGTCGATGATTTGGATGAAAAGATGGAGTTTTCTATCTCACTGTTTGCTCTGCGGTCTGGATAGTGACGAACTGAAGGGAAGCAGTCCCCTTTATACACTCGATATTCGCTGATCGGCTTTCACCTTCGACATGACATTCATCTCCAGTTCCTTACCATCGGGTTGATAAGCATGACACATTGGTTGCTAAAGTCCACGCGGAATCTGAAGTAGTCATTTGGCAGCCGTCTACAGGGAAGCATTGCATAGCCGACCTCCAATGGACAGGAAGGAATACTTGCAAGCTCGATATGCTCCTCATGTCTCACATAATCTCGCATAAACTTCAAGGCAAAGCTTTCGGGACTGAGTTTGACAGAATTCGAAAGTGGAGTGAGAACCTTAGTCAGGTCAGGATAATGATGTGCTAAGCCGGCAGAAACCCATAGCCTACTCCATAGTGAAGGGCAGCCAGTTATGTTTTCGGGGCTTTCGTAACGTGCATCATAGTCGCACCCACGTGGCGATTATATGGGGGATTTTCTTATTTCCCGTAGCTGCTCAACTGAACAATAGGCTAATATCATTCAAGTACATTCCACTACTGAGCATATGTATCAATAATATCAAAGTAGTTCTACATAAAACTCATCTGCCGAGAAAGGCATTCGAGTCTATGTCAGCCACCATCTTTCTAACCAAATCTGAATATTCCAGGATATTAGGTCTTGCCAGATTATGCTGGTGACAAAATCATTTATAAGACTGAGTAAGACTGTAAGCATACTCCATCTGTGAAGCTGCAAAAGCCATCACTAAGCATTAAGTAATGCATTTGGCAATCATACGTGGGTATGCTGGGATATTTAATATATTAATAGGTTAGGTGTCTCTGTAAAGTGGGCTAAGATGATTATCCTAGGAGGGGGAGTTATTAAGTATTATATTGCTAATACTTAATAAAAGATAGAGCTAAGAGTGCAGTGTATATTAATACTAACTAGAAGATCAATAGTAGTAATATAGGTATAAGTATAAATGAAGAGATGAGCTTGGGTAAGAACCGTAAGATTAAGGCTAGATAGTAGTAGTAATCCTAGAAGGCTAGAACTTTATAACTATCTTAGGCAGTACCTAACTGTTACTAACCATTAAACTAGGTCTTTATTAAAGCAGCTACTTATTTCCCTATAATAATTACTACTATATTTACTAAACCTGATGATAGGATGGGTAATTCATAGCTAAAAATAACTACTAAATGGGCTGTTCCCCTTGGAAAATATCACTGTTCTTGGGGAGATTGTTCTGTTTATATCCCCACCTTGGAATGGACTGGCTCGACGATGTCATCAGCTTGGCGTTCCAGAAGGGCATTTTTAAACCCTAAAGTGGTAGGTTCTTTGCCTTCCTCTTTGAGCAATGTCGCCAGCTAATAAAGTCTTAGCCTGGTTTATCACCTGGACTACATCGCTGGGAAAGTATCGGCAGTAATCGGAGGTTTTCAGAGTGACCTTTCTTTTTTCCTGCGGCTCAGAATTTAGGTGCTCCGTGGACAACGCAACAAGTGTACCCTACTGAAAAACTAAAGAGGTTTCTATCTGCTTTATCTCTATTCTACCTAGTAGAACACGGAAGAGTACACCACCTGCATCATGAGGAATTCAACTGGGTACTGATCCAGTATATCAGGCACAAGTTCAAGCCAATCTTTGAATCGACAGGCGATTGTAGCATTGCAGAAATCCCAGAACTCCGGATACCACCCAGCACTTTCCCAGTCCATTAGGGTGATTCTAAACTCAGGACATCCGTCGCGATCCCCGAGCCTTTGAACCATAATATTCTTCGGCTGAAGGTCACCGTGAGTGAACACAGTGCGGTGGCCGCTCAGGGTCTGATTGACCATATTTCGCAGCAATCGAATGTACTGGTCTGATTCTGTCTGGCGAAGCTTTTCGATGATGGCAAGATTCATGTCTTCCTGTTTTGCGAAGGGTCCAGAAATTTTAGGATTTAAATTTTCGGTCCAGAATACCCCGTCCAGATAGGATAGGGCTGACGATTCAACATCCCCAAGTAATCTGGCGGCGGTATGCTCCGTAGTTCAGTGATCGCGGCTTTAATTAAGTTGCTTATCGTAGCTTTTTCAGCCGAGTTCAGGGATGGCAATAGCTTTTCAAGCGTATCACCAGGGAGATATTCCATAATAATATAAGTTTTGTTGTTGGCAGGGTCCTTGAAGGCCGCGTGAACTTTTGGGACGGGAACTTTGCTGTTTTCTGCAAGAAACTTCATGTTTTCAGCCTCGATGAGGGGTACTCCGTGGCCCATTTTGACTGCGAAATCTCTCATCCGGACGACTTTGGTGGAGGTGTCGGGAGTGCTTAGAAGTTCTGTCGCGGCCTCTATCTCGGAAACAGATGGTAGGCGAATGACTTCAAAAGCCGATTCTCTTGCCATCCTGTGGACTAGGCTTGATTCTGTATGTCTCTTGCAGAAAATGGACGTATAGCACAGGGGCAGGTTGAAGTGGGTTGAATAAAGAGTTTAAAGCGGGCGCTTTTGTTGAATTGAACTGCTGATAAAAAGCTAAGTTGAATCACACGATCAAAGAATCCAACAATATCTCCTCAGGCTACGAGTTCGGGCCGAACCTTTCCAAAAAGCCTGGAACTCTCTCTAGAATATAAACAACAGGTTTAATAATATGAGAGTTTTCCCCGTACCCAGGGTTCCAATCTACTATACTCTGTTGGCTGCCTGACCACCCATTTCGAGGAATGCTAATGGAGACGGACTGCTTACTCGGGGCTCGTATCCTTGTACATCCCACAGCATGATCGCGTGGGAGATAGCTCAGTATATACTAAAGGATAGAGAGAGCAGCGGTACTGCTCATAATCTCTGTTGTAATTGAATTCCGCTATTAAATTCTATGGAACAAAAGATGGAATTTGATTGTGCACTCATATGTGAATGACAGCTATAACCTTTAGGCACCAGCATGGATGATATATAATTGAGGCAAGTCCTCCGTCAGTACTCAGGACCAGCGAGGACTACTTAATTGAGATTGATTCTATGTGCAGACTCGAAAGCCTGACAGACAGAGATAGAGATAGATAGAGATAGATAGCAAGATATGCTTATCTGGACCTGTTGATGCTATCAGAGCGATGAGATGCTGCATGGTCTTGTTATCATGCGGGGTAAGCCTTATAAGTAGTTATAACTACCTAGAAATGCGCAGTCGCAACATTTCCAAACGACAACAACTTCGTACTACCCAGGAAAACAACCACAATGTCTGATATCCCGCACGTATCAAACTGGGTCAACGGCGCCCATACGCCTCCAACCCCCGAACGCATCGTCGTCCTCAACTCCGCAACCGAAACCCCGATCGCAACCATCGACGCAACACCCCAAGCAACCGTCCAAACCATCATCGAAACATCACGAGAAACATTCAATACCGGACCTTGGTCCCGCGCCGACGCCTCCGACCGCTTCACCGTCCTCTCAAAGGCAGCGACCCTTCTCCGCGCGCGCATCCCCGAATTCGTGGAACTCGAAACCAGACAGACCGGCCGACCGATCCGCGAGATGCGCGCCCAGCTAGCCCGCGTGCCGGAATGGCTGGAGTACTTTGCCTCGCTGGCTCGCGTCCACGAAGGCCGCGTGACGCCCTTCAAGGGTCCTGTCGTGAACACCCTCACCCGGCTCCCGCTGGGCGTGGTGGCGCAGATAACACCCTACAACCACCCTCTTCTGATCGCGACGAAGAAAATAGCCGCCGCGCTGGCGGGCGGGAACGTGGTTATTGTCAAGCCGTCGGAGCTGGCGCCGTTATCGGTGCTGAGGCTTGGGGCGTTGTTTCAGGAGGCGGGCTTGCCGGACGGTGTGTTGCAGATCGTCAGCGGGTACGGCTATGAGACGGGCAAATCTCTGTGTGAGAGTCCGCGACTTGCGAAGATTGATTTGACGGGTGGATTGGCGACGTACAAGGCTATTGCGCCCGTTGCGGCGGCGAACATGATCCCCATCACGGCGGAGCTTGGGGGAAAGGCGCCGGTGTGTTTGTTTCCGAGCCTCGACGTGGAATTGGCGGTTAAGGCGGCGTTGTTTGCGAGTTTCATTGCCAGTGGGCAGACGTGCGTAACTGGCAGTAGACTCCTAGTGCATGCTGATCTTTATGATCGGTTTAAAGACCTGTTGGAGAAAAGGGTGAGAGCCTTGCGGGTGGGAGACCCGATGGACGAGCGCACGCAGATTGGTTCTGTCATCTCTCACGCGGCTGTCGAGAGATGCTCTGCTTTTGTGCTGCGGGCAGTACAGGAGGGAGGCCGGGTGCTCTGTGGTGGTAACCCGACAAACTCAAATGGAAAAGGCTTCTTCTTTGAGCCGACTATCATCGAGACACATGCCGATTCGGATCTCGCTTCTAACGAGGTCTTCGGGCCGGTTATTGCGCTCGTGAAATGCGAATCTGAGGAGGAAATCATCCGCATTGCCAACAGCACATCCTATGCACTCGGAGCATCGGTCTGGACCAACGATTTTAGCCAGGCTCATCGCGTTGCTGCAAAGATTGAAGCAGGCATTGTTTGGGTAAACGGACACCACCTGAACGATCCATCTTCATCTTGGGGTGGGTTTAAGGAAAGTGGTATGGGAAAGGAGAATGGCATCGAGGCCTATGAGAGCTACACCAAGGTCAAAAGTACAGTGATCAACTATGGGGTGCAGCCTGTATGGTTTGATGACGAGCCCGCCAACGCGCGGTATGGCTAATTTCCGCCAGTGGCCTGGAATGTACTGTTGGTGTAACTCTGTTTCATTCTGTCACTCAAATGTAGCTAAGTAGGAGTAATTGAGATTGCCATACTACAAGAGTAGTAATGGTAGCGACTGACACTAGAAGTGTCATTCGGCCCCGAGGCTCGGAAATGAAAGATTACCCGATTCGGTAAATAACGCGTGGGATGATGGCGATCGTTCTGTATCTCCGAGCGGATGGCGGATTTAAGTATACGGCTTTTGCTCTTTTGGTAAATCAACGAGACATAGCATCAGATGCTATCAAAAAACGATTGCATTTATATGCGTTCAGGATGCTACATCCATGCCCCAGTCAGACTGGGATTGAGTCGACGGCTTGGGCTTTATCTACAACATCTCCGGATATTACAAGTCTAAGGGTTCGTCGAAGACAATATGAGCAGCGATATAGAGACAGCGCCGGACAGCTCTCGGGTCGAAAAGAATGAGCCTCCCAAGCCAACATTCCCGGAAGGAGGGCCCAAGGCGTGGATGACAGTGCTAGCTTGTTGGTGTGTCATGTTTAACACATTCGGATATATGAACGCTTTTGGGTTGGTCTCGTCTTCTGAAAACTTCCATTATGCTAACGTCGTGCGCGCAACAGTGTTTACGAAGCATACTACAAGAATACTCTCCTCAGGAACGAAAGCAACTCCAACATCGCATGGATTGGATCACTACAGGCTTATTTCATGTACTCCAGCGGACTTGTGTCTGGTCCCCTCATGGATCGATATGGACCAAGAGTAAGCGCAGCAAGCCCAGGAACAGACAATTACTAACTCTCATAGGTTATACTGGTCCCCTGCTCGATCGTCTTCGTTGTTTCGGTCATGCTCACCAGTCTCTGCAAAGAGTACTACCAGTTCATCTTGGCTCAGGGCGTTCTTGGAGGCGTCTTCAACGGCCTGACATACACCCCATCGCTGACGGCAGTGAACCAGCACTTCTTCAATCGCAGACCTCTTGCCTTAGGGATCGCTTCCAGTGGCTCGTCCCTCGCCGGCATCATCATCCCGATAGCGCTAAATCGCATGCTCAACAAGACGTCCCTGGGCTTTGGCTGGTCCGTTCGGATCCTCGGATTCGTCATGCTCGCGCTCAGCGTCGTCGCCTGCCTTGCCATTTCATCTAATGCACCCAAACGACGCACCGGGGCACCATTCTTTCTGGAAGCATGGAAGAAGCCAGAGTACACTATCCAAATCATCGGCCTATTCCTGGTTACCTGGGCTCTCTTCGTACCAATGTTTTACGTCCCAAGCTACGCACAATCCATCGGTATCGGCGTCAGTTTGTCCAATTACCTCATTGCGATTCTGAACGCGGGCTCCCTCATCGGTCGGATCCTCGGTGGCGCGCTCGCCAACCGCCTGGGTCGATTCAATACCCTTGCCAGTGCGTCCGCTGCGTGCGGCGTCCTGATCCTATGCTGGCTGCGTATCAAGTCTCATGGCGGGATGGTTGTGTTCTCAGTGCTGTTCGGCTTCTTCTCGGGGATTGTAATCGGTCTGTTTACGGCTACGATTGCCATGACGGCGCCGAAGCCCAATGTGATCGGATCGTATATTGGGATGGCGCTTGGTGTGCTGGGTCTGGCCAGTTTGACGGGGACTCCGATCACAGGGGCTATGATCAACACCTATGGGACTTACGACGGGGCTATCATCTTTGCGGGGGTGTCTGCTGTTTTAGGTGCTGTGATCATCTTTGTCGCTCGGGTGGTATATGCGGGCTGGAGACTCGTTGCCTGAGAGAACGTCTTTTGATTTGCGTCGACTTTTGTGGATGTAGGTAGAGTATTGAAGAACAAAATTGCCCACAGAATCTCCTGCTTATGATACAGAGACATAAGACAGATTCCCGACCTGTGACATGTACACTTGATTGCAAAACTGGTGCAATTATTTATACTCTTGAATCTGGTAATCTGTCAACAAGCGCTTTCCTGTTCTTACTAATAAGAAAAAAGATGCCTCAACATTGAAATCAAAGCAGATTCACTAACATCCCTATATTAGAGGCTCTTTTATTCCAACTTAATCCCAACTATCTACCCTCTCTTTCCCCTGCCCTCATAAGATACACAAAATCAGGCTGCCTGGATCATGGATTCTACTGCGCATCCATTTACTATCCAGGATGCCCCATATTCCATAATAGGACCTGGGGAAGTCATGATTAGAAATTCTGCTGTTGCTATTGTGCGATCAAATCACCAAGTTTCATAAAATCCCTCTGTGGACAATTCAGTATGATTGAACTTTCTACCCCTCACGCAGCGTACGACCTAATCTTATTATTCTCACAGGACATATGGTGCTCGTTGGCTGGTAAATTGGCCATTCATTCTGGGCACAGATGTCGCTGGAGTGGTGGTTGATGTAGGCCCTGGTGTGACCCGTTTCACCAAAGGCCAGCGGGTCGCGCAAGTACTGTGGCTGATTTTACACGGAGATAGAGACCTGCGTATTGCTGTTGTAGGTATTGCCACAATCTAGGGTCAAATGATCCTGCCCACTCGGGATTCTAGTTATATATATTGGTGAAGGAAATCACTGCGGCAGGAATGCCAGATTCTATAGCTTTGGAGAAGCCGTTGTGCTACCGCAGGCTCATTTGACTGCCGCGGCAGGCCTGTTTCTTGAAGAAAGCCTCAATCTTCCCTTACCCTCTGCTACTGGTGTGAAGCTAACAGGAAAAATCAATTCTCATTTAGGGTAGCGCGTCTTCGGTTGGTGCAACAATAATTCAACGCGCAGAAGCAGCGGCTCTCTCAGTTATCACAACTGGATCAGCTCATAACCATGAGTTGGTAAAGTCCCTAGGCATAAATACTGTTTTTGACTATAAGTCTCCTACTGTTGTTGAGGATGTATGTTGCCAGTGCGCTCGCCAATACTAAATTTTGTTGGTGTCTTCGACGCTATTTCCGAAATTGCAAGTTTTGAGATGATGCATGCAATTCTGGACCAGTTGGAAGCAGATGTCAGGACTATATGTTCTGCCATATGATAAACCCACGGAACGGTTTACTCCAATACTTGGTAAGGCCCCTTGTGATAGCGCCTTTTCCTCCCCTTTTTGCTCATCTTCGCTACATATAACTAACATTCTTCCCTTTTTTTTTCCCCTTCTTGCCCTCTTTTAGTCAGTTCCAATTTCCTAACCTATGACTCCAACAAACATGTCGTCGACTGTATTTGGAGAGTTGTCTCATAAGCTCTGGAAAACGGACGCCTTAAACCAAAGCCTGACCCTGAGGTTGTTGGGAAAGGACTAGAACAAATCCAGGGTGCTGTTGACACCCTAAAGAAAGGCGTCTCGGCTAGAAAGATCGTTGTCACTGTGATAATCGAGAGGCTAGGGAAACTTTTTGACCTTTGGCATTGGTAATATGGAAGGAGACAACTGTCTGTAGTGGGAGTCTAAACTTGCAGCCTATATGTTTGCACCAGTTTTGCAACCAGCTGTACCAAATGGGTACATTGATGCAGGTGCCATACAGGGAGTTCCTCCTGTTTAAAGATTACTGCCTCAGGCTACAAAACCACCGGTCTGGATGCCTCGAGGATCAGGCTGAAGGGTCCCGGAGAAACTTTAGACCGGGTGATCCTGGCAAGTGGCTGCCATCAACGACATGATCAACCCATCGCTCATCTCGATGAATCAGATTTCAAGGCATCCTGTCAACCAGATTCTGCACTATTATTCCTACTATACTAGAAATGGTTGTCTTAACACCTTCCTGGCTAAGTGGTTGATGGCTGACAACATCCCACAATATCACGTAAGACAGATCTCGCTCTAAGCTCGGAGATCACGCTGGGCTTCTCCGATTTGTTTAATGATTGTGTTTAGACTTTGGCTAACATTTTTTGATTAGTGAACAATCCGATGCTCCTTATCACTGATTAGTGACATCCCGAATTTTACCATCATTCAGGCAGCAGCCACTTCCAAATTCCAATCCCATGCTTACGGACACGCACATGAGCGATACAAGGGATTAGGACCTTAACTCCTTTGATGACGAATCGCAGACGGCTTAATAATCTTGGATGGACTCCTCCAGAATCGGTCCCCCTCGGATGACCTGGCCACTATTTGGAGCTCTAGTTCGCCCCGGGTGGAACGGGGGAATCTTACTCCGTAGCAACTAACTAGCCATACAGTCGAGCCTCCGTATTCAAGCGATACATCAGAGCTCATAAACCTCAAGTTGTCATCCTTCGCTCACAGATAGCTTCTGGCACGGCGAACGTGCAGCTTCTATTCAGTGATTACACTTGGCCTCGGTCGCTTTCAGTTCCGGTCTAAGCTCTGTGTCTCAGGCGCCATTCATGTCATCAACTGAATCGAACCCCGCTCTCTCATCGGCTTCTGACGATCATCAGTCCGGAAGGGACGACGGGTCGCGGAAGGAAATGATGGTCAATCCACAACCAGCAAAGGCCAGGGAACGGTCTTCTAAGAAGAGAGGTCGCCCTCAAAAAGTGCAGGATGCTCAGACACCTGCGGAGGTGAGTTATAGTTATCACTTTCTTACTCCGAGAACACCTGCTCAAAGCAGTATCAGAGACGCCGGGCTCAGGTCCGTCTAGCACAGCGCGCCTACCGTTCCCGTCAAGAAGCCACTATGTCGCAGCTGAAGAATCGAATCGCTGAAATGGAATCGGTGATCGAGACGATGACGGAAGCCTTTCTTGCTTTTAGCGACACGCTAATGCAATCGGGTGTATTAAATGCATCTCCTGATATTGCTCAGTCCCTTAAAGAGGTGACCGCCAAGTATGTCACACTTTCAAGTCAGATGACCGAAACAGACGGAGATTACGCTACGCCGCAAGATAAAGCATTGTCCCAAATCACTGCGTCAGAACAGTTATCCTTCCACTCGGCAGATCAGACAAGCGAGTCATCAGACTCCGTGGTCGCTGTCAAAACAGGCCCCGGAAACGGTGATCTCGGCGGCGCAGAACCCGTCGGCGCACTGATACCGATCGAGACACCGGACATGGCTAATGGCTCCATTTTTCCTATCACAACTCCGATAAATATCAGAGTCCCATCTCCTCACCTCATCAACATACGCACACCTATGTCGCATCTATACGGTCCGGATAGCCCCTTCTTCGCCCAGCGGTTGCACCTGGCCGCCTATAAGCTCGCACACCGATACCTCAAGAATCCAGCTGTTCCCGACTCCGCGTTACTTCGGAACTTTGGTTTCCTGATGACCAGATGGAGTCGACGCCAACTTATCACATACTTGAATTCGTTTCTGAAATCCTCCGAGGGAGTTGAAGTTTCTAAGAAATTCAATATTCCCTTGCTGAACCTGGGCGGTGCCGGGTTACACTACCCACAGAAGCATTCGCCCCTCAGCGATCCTAATCCTTATTGGCTTCCCTCGGCTGAAGATATTTCGATGATGTATGCAAATGGATTGAGTATTCAAGACCTTGAAGAGCCCTGGTTTGACCCGGGAGACGTGGAGGGATTCCTTGAGGAGCAGGGCATCATTCTTTCCAATCGAAATATGTTTCCAGAAGGCTTACAGAGCGATCGTCAGGATGTGGTTGCTAGAACATGGCAGTCAGGTCTTCTGGATGACCAAGCGGTTTTCTCGCGGGGTCCCATGTTCGCTGTCGATGAAGATCAATTGATCAATTGTAAGCCCAGTTGGACTGCGTACCAGTATGACATTGAGCGCTAATTTTGTTCGGCAGGGCTGTCCTACCGCGGCATTTGCCTAGGCCGTTCGCCAGGATTCCGCAAACGTGACGTGGAGAGGTTCATATCGCAACATGCTTGGCCCGTCGGCGTGCCTCAAATGCCTACTCAGGCCGTCGCAGTAGTCTAATGCTATTCCCGACAGCGCATTACGTTTTTACATTATTCGGAGAAGCCGATCGCTGGTCCATAACGCCCGTGACTATCGGCTCCAGCGATTTCTACTTCATATTCAGCGTGCTCTCCTCTTCGGCTGTGTCAAGTGGCAAGGACTGGCCTGAGTTCTCCAGCGCGATCTCCGCAGTTCAGATAGTGACTCTGGCTTTCGCATGCGCCACAGCAACATATGCACAGCGGTAATGCTGCCCTTGTATCGACGTTGTGATAGTCCCGACGAGGAGTCTATTGCTGCCGCCCATCTCTTCGGCTGTGGTTTATAAATGATTTCGTGCAAACCTAAAGCCGAGCGAAGAGCAACGAGCAGGAAATAGGACTTCGTTCTCCATAGCTTCGCCAGTTTGTTTAATGGCGATCAGTTCGATGCATAGCAGAGGTCGAGTGAACTGCTATAGCCACCTGACCCTGTGATGTTGGCGTTTGTGTTAGCTGGGGAGTCGCAGGTGTCGCTTCCTGTGCACCGTCAATCATCTGACCAGGGTATGCCATCGGAACGGATGTCAGTTACCTCTGATTACCTCGCGGGCTGATTCGCCCTCGAGGGGCAGAAGGGCGACGAAGGTCCAGCTATTCACGACCAATCCGATCCTGTGCATTTGCCCTCTTCTTTCGGTGAGCTGTGGTGCCCGTCACAGCCAGAAGGAAATAATGCTTCTCTGTTCCGTGCGGACTAGGCGAGGCAACGTGAAGGACATAATTGACTCTATCGAGCATCCCTGGAAATGCTGTCTTGTGTAATACCTCGGGCGACGGCGAATTTAGCCTTGTCTTCATATTTCGAGGAACGGTTCTGGAATTGCATGGTCTGGCCTGGATTTGCTGATTCGAAGCCCATAGCCCATTTCCAGGGCTTCAGGGGAGACGGCGCTGGCCATAAATTGGGTGGCGCCGGCGAATGAAGACAAGACCGGACGGCATTTTGACACTCTATGATTCATGCTCACTGGGTCGGCATGAGATGCAGTCGGACTTTTATATCTGGCGGGAGGGGTTCGTTTCGTCAAGGAGGAGGCCGAAGACACTAAGTACCTTGGCTCGGCGTGAGTCCAATGTTTAGTGATCACTTCAGTGGAGACGGTCAAGTGGCTGACCAGACTTTCTCGTATCACTGATTAGTGATACCGTGTCCGAGCACAACTGCACCATGTCGAGAACGGGATGATTAGTATTCGCTGATGCAGCGTGTCACCACCCCGCTCGATCTGGTTGCAAGCTTATCACAGGACCTGTTTCTACCCGGTAACGGACTATAGTAGTTGTAGTAGCAGTATCCAGAAATGCAGCGGCTCTTTTCTAGGCTGTCGGGTTCCCTGAGTGGCACAAATAGGTTGTCTGTCACGATGATACAACCCTTCCAGTAACGCTATTTAATGATCCTCGTCCTCGACAATCAACGACAATCATCCATAACACCCACCCATCTGACCCATAAACAACAACCATCCCACAAATAATCAAAATGCCCCGCTGGCTCATCCAACACAGTCCCAACACCCTCACCCCCGAAGAGAAATCCCACCTCGCCCAACAAATCACTCAGGCCTACGTCGGCTTCGGCCTCCCAGCATTCTACGTCCAAGTACACTTCACCGAGCAACCAGCCGACACATCCTTCATCGGCGGCGAGCAGCACCCCAACTTCGTCGCGCTGACCATCTACCATCTGGCGCGGACGATGACCTCCGACGAGCAGCGGCAGGGATTCCTGAAACACATTGATGCGGTCATGACGCCGATGTTCGAGCCCAAGGGGATCGACTGGGAGTATTTTGTGACGGAGGCGCCGAGGGATCTGTGGAAGATTAATGGGCTTGTGCCGCCGGCTGCTGGGTCGGAAGAGGAGAAGGTCTGGGTTAGAGAGAATAGGCCTGTGAGGTTATAGATGACTATGGATTGAGGGTTGTGCATAGTATGTACATGAGTTGAAGATGCCTTGTTCAGGAGAGAAACGAGTGCAAGATGCTACTTACTGTTTGATATGAACGATGAAAGCGTTAGCTTCTGCTATCTAGCTCGCAAGGCTAATTGATATGTCGGTCCTTAATACTGCACAACTCCTGGATGTTGTTTCTGTTGCATAGAGACAAAGAACGCTCACGGACAGTATGCAGAAGAGCTTTGATCCCAGCATGGACTGGTCACTGGACACACGTACTTATTCAAAGACCTGCAGGGCATTCCCAGGACAAATAACGCGGTGGCATGGTGGACTTTTGACTGGTTAGAGGACCAAGGGGTGACTGACAAGTGGGGTGTACAATCCTTCGAAGAGAACTCAAGCGTTTGGAAAGAGACCAACCTGCACCACTCGACGAACCAACTGTGGATGATGTTACTGACAGCCACGGGTTTGAAGCGGCTAAGCAAACTCGGATTCTCTCGGTTGATCATTGATCAACGGACCCACCAGGCATATTACAAGAAGAAGAGGACCACCCAGCCGGGCTTCAAGCTCCGACGACTGAACATCATGCAGTGGGTGCTCACGCAGTAGAAATTCTGAGACTAATCGGTTAGACGGGCGCAAATTGCCCATAAAGGAGGAACCATTTTCTACCCTTAGGTCATAGGGCCAGACTTTCTGTCCCTGCAGTGTCTGCTTACTGCATTAGGAGGCCTGGATGAACTCGCTAGTCCGGGAGATACGTAGCGTTCTTGCCGCTGAACTATTTTTGTTAGGATTAGAGAATGTACATGTTTATTTCCTTTGATGATCAGCTCTCATGCGAACAGAAAACCATAAAAAGGACAGGTATCCAGTCAGTTACACAATGAATGACAAGATCCTCCATCTGAACTCATCTACATATCCAAGCCACATGTCAAGCTGCTTTGCGAGCCATACTCTTGGCTAGTTGTACAAATAATCCACCATAATTCTCATCCTTGATGAAAAGCAGAAGATATTGACCCTTCAATATCAGTAAGATGTGGTGTTGGCGTACGGAGTTGAAAGGAAATTTAGCAAGGACCTGGTCCATATCAAGTGTTTCTTAAGACGGCTCCTGCGAAGCCATTGGATATATCTGTTGAGTAAGGAGAGCTTCAGGTGCAAGAGGATATAAATACAGGGTATCCTCTTTATCAATCGATTGTTTCCAGCCACCATCGTGTCGACGTCCAGCCGACGATTTGTGCTTTTGATTTCTTCAGTCAGGTTTTCTATGGAACCTATGCAGTGATGAGCATGACACATCATCATTTGAATACCCGGCTAATCCGACGTTACTTACTGCATACTTTAACATCAAGATTCTCTTGCAAAATTCAACTCCCAGGCACATGTGCCAGCAGTTTTCGGCATATTACACTGCCGCCAAGGCAGCGTATCCTTGCCATCTGAGTCCTGGACAGAATGGAACCATAAATTCTGGTGAGTTCTCTCCAGTACAAGCTTGAACGTAACTAATATGAGTCCATTCATGTTCGAAGGTATCGAAGGCTCGAAATTGATGTCACTAAGAACAACGCACGGAGAAATGCAATACAGATAAATTAATAGCTGTGGCTGGCTGATTCGATCGATATTTTACTTGTTGAGATCCCCCCTCCCTCCTCCCCAGTCGTCTGGTCAGACGCAGTACACAACTGCGTTCTTATTGCGTAGGAGTTCGCCCGAAATCCGCGCTCTCGAAATATGTTCTCCTGCATTTAGGAGACTACCTGAGGGGCACAGACCTTCCTTGAATATTAAGGCAAGCAGACCATCCACTTCTAACCCTCAGTCATTTGCCAACCGACATAGGTACTCCTTGAGTTTCGTATGCTTAAAATGCGGTTGGAAGTCATATAACTTACCAGTCTAAAGGTGGTACACAAGAGCCAGCGATACTGTCAGTCTCTACTTATATTGCACATTGGAAGCACAATGATAGCCCAGTTAGATCCCCTCCTGGCGTAACATGCTATAATTGTTGCAGGGCGATACCAATTGATGATGCCTTAATAGACTGCCAAGTAAGACATACCTTGCTTACGGCATTGCCTGGTCCGAGTAGGGAATACTTAACAAAACCTCCAGCAGTCCCTTTAAAGGCTAAAGATAGACTATATGACGAGAGAATTTAGTAAATCGATAGGTGATGCACTGCAGAAAGAGGAGATTGGATAGAAGTCTCCAAAATGAGGACTGCCGTTCGCCTTGGGGTCAGCTGAGCCAGCTAGTCCGTATGGGCATGTACCTAGCCAAGCCACTCTCACCATCACCACGACTTAATTTGTCGGACGCTGCAGCGCAAGCTCCATACCAGAAGATCACTGCCTGGTGCAGGCGCATCTGGCCATTTCCATCATAATGAGTTGGCGTTTGTATCGGCAAAAGCGACGGAGCGGCATAAGACAAGGCTGTGGAAAAGCTTGGCACTTCCCTGGACCACTATTTAAAATGCCCAATGTGATGATCCTTCTTCTAGTACTCTGTTAGATTCTCATTTTGATACTTAATGCCACTGCTGACCTGCTATGGCACGCCCTAAAGACAGTGGCGCGGTTGCATATACTCCTCTGGCCGCGCCTGAAAACGCTCACAACCAGTCTCTAGGGGAATCCGCCGTTGCCAAAAAGCAAAGCTCCCTGTGGGCCCGGTTGGGGACGGTTAGCATCCTCATTTTGGGTCTTGGCTCCTTTATGCTTGTCTTGTTCGTCCTACCTTTGGCCTGGCTTTGGGCCGAATCCATGGCAGCAGCCGCTGGGCGAGAGCCAAGCAGCACTTGGATCGCGGTCGTCAAAGCGGGCTGGACCACGCGGGCCGTCACCATCTGCACGGCAATTCTACGAACGGTGGTCACGACACAGGCCAGCGTGACGACCGCAATGTTTGCAGGAATTATTCTGGAGCGGGTCGGCGCTCCCCTAGTGGACGGGCCATTCTATTCCATGACGCGAGCTCTCAATGGGAGTCCGACTAACCTGTTGTGGACCCCAAGTCTACCGTTTCGCGGAACAGGGCTCTCATCCGTGATCGTTGGCCTCATTTTCATTGAAGTCTCGGTCACTATGGCTGTGCAGTTCCTCTCCACCCTTCTCGTGGCCGACTTCGGAAATGGCGCATTTACCGAAACCAGCAACGCGACGAATATCCGAATCCTGAATGATACCCAAATGGCACCCATTAACGCGTGGTGGTTAATGCCTCCGGCGGCCGATTGGACGTTTGCTGAGCAATCGGACCCATTTGTACCTGGGCCCAAGTACCACGATACGGGCCACACCTACCGCGCCTTTTTGCCCTATAAAGAAGCGGCGCAGAGAACATCACTGCGCCATTTCCACGGCCCAGTCCCAATCGTCGATCAACGGGTCGTGTGTGTGCAGCCTGCACTGCGTGACCTTCGCCTCAACGCGCTCTACACAACCTACGCGCTTCTCTCCGGACAAATCGCCATCGCGAACGGCACGTATCCGATGCTGCAGGGGACGGAGAGTCAATCTTACGTCCCGTTTACGTGTGCGTTACCCGCCCTGGTGAAGTTTTCTACCCGGGAGCAAGGACAGACGAGCTTGTGTTGGCCGAATTTCGGGGTAGACTGGGTGGTCTTGGTGGAGGAGCCTCTGGTGCCACCTGAGCCCATGACCATGAAAGGGACCCCAGTCGTCGGCTATCCGGAAGCATCCACGATGTTCATGCTTCTAGACCTCGTCTCCTTGGCTGCCTTCGGCACCGGCGTGGAGCAGGACGTCCGCAGCGTCGGGAACAACGACACCACTAGTAGTCCGTGGGTGATGGTCGTAAACGGGACCGATTCCCCTGCGGTACGGGTGACGGCCTGCATGGCCAATCTCGGAGTGGACACTTTCATCGCGGACCTGCACAGCGACTGGGAGGGGTCGGAACCCGCCATGTCCTGGAACCAGCCGGCGCAGCGCTACAGCACCGCAACTACGCGCACCCAGCTAGGTGCGGTTCTCCCCCGACAGCCACTAAACGACCGGGGCGTGCTCGCTCTCACCCCCCGCTCGGACTGGCAGTTCTTCTTCGATGCAAAGACATCCTCCTCCGCTAAGCTTCACGCGTACAACGCTTGGACCTTCACGCTGGCCCTCGCCGGCAGCCTGCGAAACCCGCTGGACACCGGCGGGACCCCGGTACATCGCAACCAGACCGTCGACATGGGCGTCATGCTCTCGCAGTACCCGACCACCATTCATTTCAACGCGCACGCGAAGCAGGTCAGTTTATTCCAGGACACGCTGAACCAGACGCAGAGCCCCGCAGTGGCCCTGCAGGCGCTCCTCACGCGCATCTGTCAGATGGTTTATTACGAGACGCTGTTGCGACTCGAGCAGAGTGGGAGCGCCAAGACCGCCTTCAGGCGTGCGGCGCTGCTTCCGACTCATTGGACGGGATTTGGGGTCGGGATGGGGTTGTTGCTGAGCCACTGGGTGGTGGTGGTCATCGTTGCGGGGCTGTTTGCGCGATACACGCGCCATTCCTCGTTAGGGAACCACTGGCAGGCGGTTTCACAGGTGTACTCGAAGGAGACAGTGGCGGTTCTGGAGGAGGCGGATCGAATGGATGATCGAGAGGTGAAGCATTGGGTCAAGGGCAAGGGGCGCGGGAAGGAGTTTTATAGTGTTGTGCGTGATAAAAGGAAGGGGCGTGTGGCGCTGACGGTTGAAAATCCGGATTAAAATCTTACACTCTCACCAGCATGAATAATCCTGCCTACTAATAGGTATGACTAGGGAAGGTTCAAGAACCCTTGGTTTTGATGGCGCAATGCGTTAAGTTGCCCAACAAAGTACTCACCCCCAAGTCGGGCCTTAAACCTCCTCTGTGACTGAGAAGGATGTTAGTGTCTTGGAGAGAGATGTGAATTTCAATGGCAATACAGGAATGGGGCTGCCTGATATCTTGGCGTTCCATTCGCACGTTTGGTACTTTATTCATGTGGATGCTTGCAACGGGCCTGGGCTGCCATTGAGGTAATGTATGCACTTTTGCTCCTGCTATAGTGTGGACAGATGAGCTTTTCTTACTGCTTAGTTTAGTATATTGTTCCACTGGGGTTGCCTGATTAGGCAAACAGCTGTATTTCGTGTTGCAGTGATATTTCCCCCTTATTCGGGTAGGGGCCGACGGCGAGACAACATTTGAAACCCTGCGGCTTGATGTATCCAACCACAGGATAGAAAGGGCTTCTGTCTCCGCTTATGCCTCCGCTTGGAAAATAGATCCAACAATGATATTATGCTAGTGCTACCATATTTTTCTTCCAGGGATGACGCAGGTTTTGCCTTCCTCCACATGCAAAGATAAATAGAGCACCCATTCCCCAGCAAAAATGCTTCGACTCTCAAGAATCCAATACACACTTGTAAAGAAAATATCCTCTCCCTGATCACCATGCACTTAGATCACAAGCTCCCCTGGAATACAGTGTCAGCGCACTTTGCTTTCATAAAGGACAACCAAGACATACGCAGAAACGATTTCGTCATCCATGATCGCTTAGCTGATCGTCAATCCGCCGAGTTCAAGCACTTCACGCAGACTCTTATTTCCACCATTGAGGAGTTTTCAACCACTGAACGAGCCAAATATCCACATCCTGCCGCCCTACCGAAATCCGGCCCCCTATATGACTCGTCTATTCTACCCTCCATCGAAGAGAAGTATCACCTTGGACCACACGCTACCAACTCCGCGGTATCAAATCCACTGTGTGAGGAGTTTCAGGATGTCGACTACTGGATCAGCCGAGCCCCCTATAGCACGGCCACTGCGCACCTTGCCGATGCAGTGAAGATGCTCATTATCTCGAATGAGATGCTCGCTCTGTTACGTCTAGCAAACCACGAGAAAATCCCACTAATGGATCTAAACCATCTTAGCTGGGGTCACAGCTTCGGTGTCACGCATGTTGCTGACGTGGCTCTGGAGATTTACATGTTGCTGAATATCGCTGCTTCTGTCAAAGCTAATGCAAAACCAGGATCTGCGAATGAAACTGGTTGTCTGACGGAGACGCGGCGGTTCCGAAGTTTTGCTAGTTGGGGATTGGGTGATTTCGATTTTCCAGCTCAAAATATACCACATCGGTTGTTTTGGAATGCAAAGGGCATTACTGACGGACTTGAGTTCTCAACGTGGGACCCCTTGCGCCTTGGGAGTGACGATGAGAGGAGGGAGATGAAGGAGTACTTGAAGATGTGCTTTGAGCTGTTGTATCGATACGATCTTTTGATGAAGGAGATGGGCGGGGATCCTGAGTGGAAGAAGAAGATCCTAGGTATACTACATACATGGGGTGCAAGGTGTATTACCTTAGGCGAGACAGGGTTCTGCTTCATTTGACCTTTATTGACACGTGCGCATTGGGCTGAATATGTAATATTGGGAATAGGTGATAAACAGCCGAGCGGTCTCTTTTCTCCACGTCTTACCATGTTTGTCGAAGATATAAACATACCAATGCCATTCAACCATATTGTCTAGTAGCTGAGCATCTAGCTATTTGTTTGGGCAACTTCTTTTATTACGTCCAATAATCCAACATCCACTACATCGTGGTGGAGCACGCTGACCTCCTTAGCCTGCTCAGGTCCCCATTATCAGGCTGCTAAATGCAATCACGACCTTTCTCTACTGGTCTAAAGTGGTTATTTCCCAGTGTGGTACGTTTTCTTGCTTTGTTTAGTTTCCTCAAAGTTCCAGATAGCATCTCCATATATACCGTGCTCCTGGATAGCTTCGCGTACAGTGCCAAACCATTGTTTTATGATCTTTGTGTCTTCCTGCTTCGCACATTAATATCTAGTTCTTCGATTATATCTTGCACATAGTTCAGGACAGCGTTTTGTAAAGAGAGTAGGCCTAGATGACGAGCAAATCTGTGTCAGCTCACGCAGTGATCCGGGCTAGATTGCAAAGCTTCATTTATCTGAATCAAGTTGTTTATTGATGAGAACTTCTTCTTTAGATATTGTCATTTTCGTGGCCATTGACGCGTGTTTCTGAGCGTGGCTGCCTTCCATTAAGGCGAGCCCGAAGGGTAGTCCAAGATACTTCAAATACTCCAGAAGCTTAAAGTTTTGATTTTTGAGTTTTACTTCTTGTATGCAGTAATAGCCATCTGCATACGGGATTCTTTAGCTAAAGACGTTTTACATAAAAATAATGAAAAACTGACGCATATTGGGCTCTTGACTTCGAATAATTTAGTGATTGCATAGCGGAGGCTCTCGGCGAAATATACCCACTGGTGGATGAAAGTAGGCAGAGTTGATCAACAACTGAAAGTGAACGAACCAATAAGAGGCTTGGGTGCAGGAAAACGGGGGATGGGTATTTATTCCTCGGTCTTATGATGTCGGCTGGGATAAGTAAGCTTCTCAAATGTAACTGAGTTACACCAAATAGGACGAGCAGTTCCTTCAACCCTTACTGGCCTAGTTCTCCATGTACAGGGGGTGCCGATGTCCGATAATATAAATCTATAAATCTATCGCAATTTGCCCAATAGCTGGAGTATGATTAGTTAGCGCTACGCCTACTCGAAAACGAAGAGGCATACGGAGTATGATCAGCACAAAACGAGCATGAGCATGTGGCACGTCAGACTCTGATCAAACTCCACCAACGACCATGAAGAGGTCAAGATGATTTGCGCAACTTTGAAAACGGTCAACCCCTCGAAATAATCAATCGACTTTCACGAGAATTCCGTTCCTGAATATGACCGGCCTGCCTGGGGGAAATCTGGCTGGTGGAACATTCATTGTGATCCTGCAATCTGCATGTCCAAAGAACTAATTCCTCTCCGTTCTTGAGTAGGCTGGAAAAAGGTGGATAGAGGCGGATTACTTGTATAGACTAGATTTCCCCTATTGTCTCTTGTACGTGTATATTTTGAGACATATCACTGTTGAACTTCCTCACGGTTCTCTGTGAAAGGCGTTCAGTCTCAGGCTACTCTTATTTTGTTAGTGGTAATGTTCTCTGCCGGAGTCCCACGGAGAAGTCCTGTCCAGAAGCCAATAAATTACATGTATATCCTCTAATAAAACGCCCCGTCTTTGGATTTCATCACTTGCGCCATATTCCACCTTGGAGTAACCCACACTTAGCAACTCAGCGGCCCTGGTAGTTTGACTAGGTCTAAATCCGATAGAATGCTTATGCTAGTAACGAGGTATAAAAGTTTGCGTTTCTGTGCTCTGGTAGGATATGAACCAGAATATCTGCGAGCTACTGTGGAGCAAGGGCCAACCAGTAATTACTGATAATTGTTAATGCATAAAAGGGAGTCCAAGTACGAATACGGGACTTTTTCCGAATAAGGACATGCAGAAAATTCTAGTTGCGTAGTTACTCAACGACCATGCCAATTTTCCCCACTGGTGTGGCAGGGATAGGCCTCATCCCCGACCATACGTGGAGCAAGCCCTAAGTCAGGCGGGCACCTTTAATACATATACGAACTTTGGACAGCAGATCATTCAAACGGAGCCGAATATAGTCATGACCAAATCCGCCATCCACTGAGCTATCTTTGTACGGCCATCGTCAGACCGTTGATTGAAAATGTAGCATTTTTAAGGCAAGCAATCTTCTGTTCCAGCAATCATTTTACAGGAAAACCAGGGAGTCCATAGCCTAAATCCCGAAATTCATACCAAGATATAAAAGGATATTGTTGAATTATCACGTTTAACTACAAGCCAACCAGAGCCAAACACAGGGATAACGCTGGATTAATATGAGGAATACGGAGTACAAGTCTCGTTGAACCATGTTGGGGCGGCAGTCAGACGCCGGATACGGAACATAGCTGGCCTTATGTGGGTCGACTGTGATGGAGTCTGCGTGCTTGAGGGCTAAAAGATCCTGTTCGGTGTTCTCTTGAAGGCACAGAGATGGTATAAGGTCTCGGCCATGACGGCTTAATCGTTCTATCCACACCGGATGCTGGTTTTTCCCACATATCATATCTCTTTCCAACATTGTGGCAAAGCAACTGCCCCATGCTGCATCTGCATGAACAAGGAACGACAGGCTGTATTCCTGTCAAACTCTGCTAAGCCTCTCCACAGCACTCTCTTCTGTTGAGCCGACAATGGCTACAACAGCATGGACAGCTTATCCCTCCTTAGCACACTCATGTAGTTTGCGTTTAAGAAGTGTTGTATCAATACAGGCATCCAAATCGACGTCTATCTTGGTCGATAACCCCTGACCCAAGATCGGTAAGAGCTGAGTTTATTAGTCTGCTGTTCCTTCTTTGGGGAAAGCGTCAGGGAGTCGACATACTGGCTCCCTTTGGCCAGGAGTAATGGTGAGTTTTACTGATCATATATTGCGGTAGTTTGTCAATTATATGATATTCCTCCAAAGCATCCCTTCCTGCTGCTGCCTGGATGCTAACTTCAGTGCTTCTTCGAGAAATAGATCCGATATGTTAAATTGCTCTTTTAAGGAATCCGGCAGGTCAGGAATAGTCCCAGGCCGTAAATTAAGCAATTCCCAGGTACTCATAGCTTTGAACAATTTCAGATCTGCATTGCAGTCCTCTAGTTCTTTGGATAGCGACATCTTATACGGATATAAAAGAGACCGACGCACTGCGGAATGTTGATTTGAATGGAAGCTGCAGAAATACGCCATTCGGCTGTATTCGCCATAGGGTTGCGTTTACTCATATGGAGTAGACTTGCCTAATATGCACTTCAATAATAGGTTTAGATACCACAGGCTGAAAAAGCCCGCTTGGTTATATTCGTCACACGCCTATTAGCTACATTATCAACCCTATAATACAAATAATATCCTAAGTATACCACAACGCCTCCACAGCAAATCAGGATCTCCTCGAGACAAGCCCCTAGCGAGATGACCTTTCTAAGTTCTGACTATGCCCACAGCTTGACAACTAGCGCGCGGTTCGAATGACCTTTTGTAAGTCAAACAGGTTGAGTTGTCCTTTGCGGATCAAGATTGGTAAATCCGGAGCTACCTTTTATACCGTGGTGGTCTTTTGTCTGGAAAGGAGTACCAACGAGATTACAGGGAAAGATATGAAACCATCCAGCTCCCGTCATAAGGCCAAGCTGGTCTCGATGCATCGCTGCACCAGCTCATCTGCCTTCTTGGAGTACCTTTCTTCGCTAGCCTGTTTGCTCTGTACTCGGTCTTGCGTAAAGGACCTCGGCCTTCATACCTGGTTTACCATCATCCCGTACTAATCAAGGCTGGTTAACTCGGCTGCTTAAGGTCATAAAAAATTCTGCAGCCATGTAAACATATGTTGAATGAGAACTTTTAGAGAAGAAAGCCTGGTTCGTAGTGTGCGTGACAACATATTCATCCCGATCCCTTCGCGAAACCTCGGCGTCCAGGGCATTCTGTTCAGTATTAAGGGTACCATTACAACAAGACTATATAGTATGCGTCGAGCCTCAAACCTTCCGCTTTCTTGATATACCAGATGTCTACCGGATTTGATATTCACCTGTATGCTTCCATGGGAACATGTGGAGATTCTGGGCATTGAGAAGATTGACATAGAATGCCAATGCACTCATAATTGCAAGGAAGTCTTCGCGGGCTTCTTCCTGGTTGGGATTGCTCTCAATATTTTCCTTGATAAGTTTATCAGCTTTCCAGTAGCTGTCGCAAAGGAACTCGACACCAAGGTAACCAATGAACTCTGATATTGACGGGATAAGATCCCGGAAGAGTATAATCAGATGTTGAAGAGTAAATTCGGGGCGCGTGGCAGCGAGTTTAAGTATATTGTCGAAGATATGATAGCCCAGAGTTCGAACAACACTGCTCGAGAAGATCATAGCACCGAAGTAGGAGTTTTTCGATCCGGGCTTCGCTGCGGCTTGGCCACGATGGAGTTTTTCAATTTCCACAGAAACACTTGACCAGGACTTCTCCGTCTATGTATCTGACCTCAGTAAGCGGCTACTAAAGGATGCTTATGCAAGCGTACCTCTTTATGAATCTCCTCCACGAGACTCCTTACTTCACTACTTACGCCAGTTCTCTGAAATTTAAATAGCGAGATCCGCTTTGGATCAGGTTCGGGCTTTGAAGCATCCCAAACGACGACGTCAATAGGCTCTTTCGCTTCGCATTGACTTTTCCAAATCTTATCTGCAACCCAGCGTAGCGTCTTGAGATCTTCGTCAATAACTTTCCCACATGTGGCTACAGATTGATGCTCAGTAACTTCGCCATACTTTATGACTAGGTGCTGGAATGATGAAAGAAAGACTGAGCCATCAGGCTCTTTGGCTCGATCAGGGGCCTTCTTGTCGGCGGGTGTGTACTTCTCATGATTAGTGGTCTGAAACTCGTCTAGAAGTGGCCACTCACAATCAACTGCTCCAGGGGAACAAGATGGTACAACTGATCCCCAGCGACAACAGCATGCGTCTGGAGAGAGTAATACGGCAGTACGGTTCCAAGAAGCCTGACCAACGTCGGGTTTGAGTCGTTCATCTTCACTGTAACTGTTGCATCAAGCTTAGGCCACTTGATCTTGACCTCATGAGGTGCCTGCGACTGCTCATTTGGGAGGCCGTTCATTCTGAAAAAGTCACCGAAGGCAAAGATGGTAGATATTTATCGTAAACTGGAGTATAGTCACACCTGAGCCTATTGCGAAATAATTGATGGTGTGAATAATTCTTACCTTTTATATCCAAGATAGTGTTCTAGAGCCAGAGATAGTTATGATGTATTCATTATGCAGTCATGAGGTTTCATTTCCATATTTCTGTCGTTATAAGTTGAAATACAGATGGGCGATAACGCGTAGAGCAAATTCTTCAGCAGTTGGGCCGACACTGGTTGGCATATCCCAGTAGACCTGTAGAGGGAGAAAACTAAGCTTGCGTCAAAATTGCGTAGTATAAAGATAACAATTGGCTCTTGAGTTGGCTACCTTGGGTTCTCCTATCCACACCTCTGTTATCAAAAGTATCCGTGGTTCGGCAGTGGGCGTACATCCAGACCACGCCGAGTCTCCGGAAACGGCAATCATAGCTTTTTGGTTGCGTTCCGGATTACCATGGATGAGTATCCGCAAAATCCTGACATACCGGCTGGCTACTGGCTTGGGGAGGCAATTGTTTTTCTAGGCTATCCAAATAATGTCTACAATGCGCACGACGTCATACCACATCGTTTATAGCTCATGATACGGCTCTATGACCGTTTCCATGAGACGAGTCAGTATAAAGTGGCCAGGGAAACAAAGTAGTATGACTCCCAGCCTCGAGAGAATTCAGTGCAGTAAGCAGTTTTTACCTAGGGCGGAGTTCCCCTGGATTTGCTCACTCTGGTCTCAACAAAGTTCTGCCGTCCCTTTCTGATTCACTATTTCAGTGTCAGTCACGATTATCCTCATCCTTAGGAACCAAGATTTAGGCATACTAACGAAGAGGCAGAACATTTCAGAATGCCTGCTGCGAATACCAATGAGTCTACAGGAGATCCCTTCCGGAAAACCTGTCTTGTACCCTACGTGGACCCTGATTCGGCCCCTCCTGCTGTTAAAGAGAAGCTTAAAGTGCTTCCGTTTCGGCGCAACATCCTCCTGACGCTGGCTCATTCTCACGGCCTATTTCCACATTTTAGCGGTCTCCTCGGTGCTTGTTTCGATGGGAAACAGCGCAGTATTCCCGTTCTCGACTGGCAGTTGATCGTGCTACGGACTGCTACTATTCTCAAGGCTAAGTATGAGTTTGAAGTTAATCAACCTGTGGCTGAGGTATTTGGATTCCCGAAAGAAAAGATGGATGCTATTGGGTGCTCTATCCAAGAAGTATTGGATGGTAGAGGTCCCTGGACTGATCGGGATCGGGTCATTCTTCGCCTTATCGATGAACAGCTGGCGACTTATGAAAATAAGCCCGAAACAGTTGAGGACGCTCTGAAATTGCTGTCTGTGGAGGAAACAGTCGAGGTCCTAATGATCATCGGTATCTATGCTTTATTAGCTCGGGTAATTAAAGGTTTGAGGGTGGATGATGACCAGCCGATTCCTGACTTGAAGGATAGAATTAAAGCTGCCATTACTGATTGACGAAAGCAGCCTGCAATTCCGGCCCTCATTCCAGAATATTTTGAAATCTACTATGTCGCAGTTGAACTCTAGGCTGGACAAGTTTCCTTGTTTGTTGCCTATGAAATAGATCTGAGTAGATTACATTGTACGAATATGGACGGAAGCGTAGCTGAGTATTCTGGTCACAGTGACTCCAATTATGGCTCTAGCATCAATAAATCCACATATTACTATCCTTCTTGGGGTTTTGGTTAGCTCTCGCTCAACCCAGGAGCATGATTGCTGGTGGTGTTCTCCATAAAGTACTGAGTACATTAGATAACCGGATGATGGGAATCCAGCTCAACACTCGCCATTCGAACCCGACCTAAAGCTAGCAGTTCACTCTCTAGCTACAAACTTGATGAAATATGTCTTAAAGATCAGTGAGGCTAGCAGTTTCCTTGTTTACGTGGCTGAATCAAGTTTAGCTACTAGGCGGCTTTAGGGTTTTAGGGCTAGGGGTGGCCTCCAGCGAATCTTTTTCCGACTGAAAGTTACGAACAAGGTTTGGAGAACCGGAGTGCCGGATCTGAAAGATTTTCGAGATTGCATGAAACGGTCCTCCCGTTCCCTAGGGACCGCCCAGTGTCACCGTGTGGGTGCCCGTTCCATACCATAGATTGTCCTCTAGTGTGTAGATAATTGTCAGCGGGTGCTCTGGCTGGACAGTGGCGGATCACTCAATGCATGTTGACGCCTGCCGCACGATTTCTATACGAAAACACTAAAACAACTAATAGGAAAAAAAGAATATGGAACGCTACAATATGATCTAACTACTTTTTTGAAAATCGATTATTTGAATGATGTAATGCGAACCGGTTGTTCCGGACCACCTTGAGCCTGGCTTATGAAAACCCTGACCTATGATGTACAACGATGGTGTCATTGTACTACAAGTATCTTTTAATAAATCAGTTCACAGTGAAATCCATACCCCTCTTCTCGGTCTAGACACCGATCCGTCTAGATGATCCGGTTTTTCCTTTCACAATAATAAAATAAAGCAAGATCTTTTGTACTAATACAAAGGTTCCAAGTTTATTTTCACTTTTAAGCTTTTCTTTAAAAAGTAGCCGTGCTGCACATTGGTCCATTTGTTTGCTGGTTCCTCTGCCTAACATGGCGTAAATTGCAAAATAAGTGCTTAGCAATGTGCAGGTAACTTGTAAGCTTGAATCATAGCTAACCAGGTAATCCCTTCCATTGCTATCAGGAAACCTTCATTATTCCAAGCGTCATACAACTGCTGCTTTGGAATTTCCCTTTCCTACTTAAGGAAGGACTGGAGGGCACACTTGTCCATAATCATCCGGGTGGCGCAGGCTATGGGCCGAACCGCCTTCTTATTCACTGGAGTTTTGCCGATCCCTTTCCAATAAGCCGCCCACGTCTGTTTTCCATATAAAAACCGTCTAGGTTTAGGTTAAGGTGTAGTCTAGTCATACAGAGTTATACTTATAAGCTCCAATCTCCCTAGCATATATAGATACACAGGTACCATAACTTACATCTGTATTTTTGTTAATATGAACTTCTTGAACACTAGAGAGAGGAACAGTGTTTTTAAGGCCTTTCAGACGAGTGTTTATATACTTTAAGCCATATGCTGTCCAAATATACTAGCATATATGGGCCTTGTGGAGATATCAAAGCCTTGAAGAGTGCCATTTTATATGGTATATAGAAACTCACCTGGGAATTATGTTATGTTCGACCACTGATATGTCAGCAAAACTCGCCCAATGCCGAAAGCTGGTGCACAGGGCAGCTGCAGCGGGAGCTAAAGTACAATATATCACTACTGTCCTCTAATACTCGAACAGGCACTGTTTCTTCCCGAGGTGTCTGACTTCGTCGCCTGTTCCCAAAACAGACTGTTAGATTGGTGCAGTCCTTGGGTGAGAGTGAGTTTGTGGTGGACCTCCAGAGGGAAGCGCAGCAAGCGGGACTACATATCAATGCTGGTATTCATGAACTAACGACGGGTGAAAGGGTAAAGAACTCCTCGATCTAGATCGATGACAAGGGAGTTATCACCTAACGTTACCACAAAGTGCATCTATTCGATGCGACTACCTCAGCAGAAAGCACGTATGAACACTTTCTTAGCATAGGGGGGATTTCTGTTCTTATCTCCTAATACAACTTTCTCGACTAGGACTGTGGAAAAGGGAAAGAGTATATTACCTGTGTTCGAGCCCCAGCTGGCCGCGTCGGCTTACTGATTTGCTTCGATGTAAGTTCAAAATAGACGAACGCTTCGATATAAGGGGACAGCTTACTCTAGCGTTTTGACCGCAGCTACGCTTTCCAGAAATTAGTCTGGCGTTGAGGCGACAAGATGCTCGGATCATTAGCTATGCCTCGACCTTTTTCGCTCAGACGGGACCTGCACATTGGGAGACGCTACTCCGACTCGAGCTATTGAGACACAATGCTATGTTATAGCAGCGGCACAAGCTGGACCACATTACAAGGAAAGAACTAGTTACTACCATTCAATGATTGTAAATCCTTGGGGCGAGGTTGTGGCTACACTTGGAGATGAGCACAAAGGACCTCAAATTGCAACTGCTGAGATTGACTTTGAATTTTTCTCAAGAGTCAGGAGGAAGATCAAGTTGCCTAGAGGGGTGGATATCCATTCAGAAATATGAATTTTCTACCAACAGGTGTTGTCGGTGACACCACTGTATCTCTTCGAGTCTCGCTGCGCTTCCTGTACTAAAAGAAATTGCCAGAACTAGCATACCTCTTATGTTGTAAGCAGATTTGTGCCGTTTAAAAGGGAATTATTCTTCTTTCATGGATATTTACCAATGTTACATCAAATAGAAGAATTAAGCCACATGTCACAGAACACTTGGACAGGGTTGCATCAATTCCGTCATCTCTAATTATTTGTTACATTACCCAGCCTCTTTTTCCGTCTAGACAAAATCGATTGCGTGATGAATTGATGAGACTTTGTCCCCCTGATGCCACCCAAGGAAGAGACTTCAAAGCATTTGTCTCCTTTTCACCTTGCATCTAGGCCAAATATCGGCCACATAAAAACTGCAGATGTGTAAGGACGTCATACAATATATAATGATCCTTCTTATATATCAGCGAAAAGAACCACACCAAGATTCGCCCGCTCAGGATCATTGTTACCGCTAAGCCGTGTAGCTCTATAACGCACCTCCACCGGCCCCTACTTCAGATTCCGGCTCCCTCCATTCTTCAAGCTGAACTCAGTTCCCCCGCCCCTCTGCAGTACCTCAAGTATGACCCGCTTCGAACAGCAAATAATCCTCCCCGGAGCAGAATTTCCTCTGGAGACCGCAGTCGCACTCTTGGAGGACTACAGCAAAAGCAATTATTACGTCTACGAACGCGGTGATAAGTGGTACCTTGGGCTCGGTGCTCATGCATCCCTAGTCCTTGATCCAAAGGGGCAAACCGCGACAGAAATCGACACTGAGGGCCGGAAAGAGTCGATGACCATAACCGACTTGCCCACAGACCAAGTTAGACAGTTCGTCTCCAAATATTCCGACCATGGGAAGATATTTGGGCAGGTTGGTTTCAACTATTCTGCGCGCTGCTCAGGGCAGGCCTATGCCCCAAGTCAGTGGCCGATGTTAAGTCTCATGGTTCCCCGCGTGCAAGTCATCATGGACCGTATTCAGATTACGGTCACAGGACACGCTGAAAATGATGCCTATGAAGTAAGCGAGCGTATCAAAGGCATAGTAAAATCGATCTCCATGGACAATATATATCTCCCATCCGAGCCCCATGACGCGATTGATCTCGCAGTGAACGCAGGCGAGTACAAAGCTCGCGTAGCCAATGCAATTGCAGATATTGCTAAGGGCAGATATACCAAGGCTATTCCGTCTAGGAAAGTTCCTTTGGATTTCCGGGTCGATATGCTAGCGACTCTCCTCCACGGCCGACGAGCGAACACTCCTGCACGCACATTCTCGCTTAACCATATGGGTATGCACGCGACCGGCTTTAGCCCTGAAGTCCTTCTCTCCATCGAGGACGGGAATGTCTATACTGAAGCACTAGCCGGGACCCAGCTTTCGGAATCACCCGAGGCTAGCCTTGATCCATTCGACAACAAATTACATAGCGACGCCAAGGAGGTTATGGAACATGTCATTGCTATCAAGGGGTCCATCCGTCGGTTGAGTCAGGTTTGTCTTCCTGAGTCAATCTCTATTAAAGATTTCATGAGAGTTATGCCAAGGGGAAGCGTGCAACATCTCTTTTCCCATGTACGTGGACGCCTAAGAGCAGATTGCGACGGCTGGGATGCTCTACCGGGTCTTATAGCCAATATTACCGTCCCTGGGATGCCGGGACAGGGGAACCTGGAGGCAATGCGGTGCTTTGAGCCTGAACCGAGGGATCTCTATTGTGGTGCGGTGCTCATGCTGGATGAGGGCTCAAAACTCTTCGATGCAACCCTGGTTCTTCGCACAGTGTTCCAGGATGCGAATCGGCAGTGGCTACAAGCCGGGGCAGGAGTCACGAGTTACTCAAAGCCGGAGCGTGAGTTTGCCGAAACATGCGAGAAGCTGGAAAGTGTGGCCCCGTTTGTGATGCCCCAACGTGATTCACTTGGGCTTAAGTCAATAGCTAGAAGAGCTCATTTAAGATCCCAAGGGTGCTAGAAGGTCTAAACGCTGACCATCTATAAATAAGAAAACAGCAAACGATTATTACATTAATAATCATAATAAAAAAGTCTGCAGTCAGACCATATTACCCCTCCACGGCTTTGGTAGGTATGGGTGGGACACTGAGTTAACGAACGTAGGACTAAAAATAATATAAATAATTCACAAATTCTTAGCCAGCTCTGACCAACGAACTAATCAGCGTGTATCCAGCAGACAGAGTGATCAACTCATTAGCATGGTAAAGACACCTTCGAGCTAAGTTATCTACCTAAGACTCAGGCATGGACAATAGACCAAGTTGAACAATTCTTAGATGTTGCTGAACTTACTCAGCCCATTCAGAAACGGTTCGTACTCGTCATTTTCCACATCACTCGGTATTCTTTTGTATAATATAGCCGTTCGGCAGGGAGAGAGCAGGTTATTGGTCATTCGTTGATAACCTGTGCTCACTATATTTACTGTGAATTTATCGGCATCACATTTCCTCGCATTCCTGCTCTCCCTCACTCCGCACTTCTCTCAAGCGAACGCGAAGAATTTTATCGTGCAGGCCAGTGAGCATCCTAGTTTATATTTTACTGGTAGTACCTGCCACTATCGTCAATTTCAAGTTCAGGCGTATGAGAGAATCTCTTTGTGCCTCCCTCGGTCCACCTTCGAATCCGTATATGTGACCGGTTGGGAAGAATCGAAGAACTTCGTATCGTCAAGAACACGAGGCTAAACCCCCCAGCTCTTCCACAGTATTCTTTTTTGTATCATAATCAATCAATTGACGCTCTGTTTGAACAGCCAAGTATAGACTAGACTTTGTGAAACCCCTTTCTGACCCAGTTGTCGAGGTAGCGTTTGAGTAGTACATCGTCCAAAGGAGTGTAACAGATGTCTGGACGATCAGCCAGAGCTTTTTCGGCATTTGGCGTTTCGTAAACGGGTGTGTATTTACTTGTCTGTAGACGGCTCAATTCCCGAAGAACAGGTTCGTCCAGCAAGGGCATCAATGGAGATAAGGGGTTTTGGTCTAGGTCATTCGATTCACGGAGCTTCGTAACCCACTCATCATATGGAATTTCTTCCACTGGATACCCAGCTTTATTGATCATCACGCCGGTCTCTTCAATATTCACCGATTTTGAATGATCTGGAGCGACAATACTGTAAGATCTGCCAAGGTTTTTATTTGACGAAGCGATATGGATGAGAGCGGAGCAAACATAGTCCACTGTTACATACTCCATCCGTTGGTCAGGGAGATGAGGCCAATATCCAATCTGAATACTTCCAACAATCAGTCGGGCGAAGAAATCATCTGGATTGCCCATAGCGCTAACATGGTCTCCAATAGTAAACCCAGGACGGTAGATAGCGACCGGTAGCCCTCTAGCGCGCATCCTGCGTACCATTTCCTCAGCTACCCACTGACTATGCGCGTAGCCAGTGTCGTAAGGCAAAGACTCGAGGTGAGGCTGGAGGGGGCCATCTTCTTGCAGACTTTTCGTGCCCAAGACCAATGCAGTCGGTCCCCAAGTGTCGATGCTGGACATGTAGTGGAAGGCCTTCCGTCTTCCCAGAGCAGCCAGTCGGAGAACGTTCTTAGTTCCAATAACGTTGGAAGAAAAATGATTCTGGTACGGCTCGCAGAAATTGACCTTGGCTCCCACATGGAAAATAACACTTGCCCAATTTGTGAGCCAGGTGAACCGTTCTTCACCCAGACCAAGGGTCTCATCTGCCATTTCACCGTCGAGGACAATCATTTTTCCTATGTTTTCCAACGAGGTATCCCAGATATCGTACCTTTCCATAGCGCGTTGGATGCGAGAACTGGCTGGAAGACCATTGCGGCTTCGAGCCAAACACGCGACTTTTTTCACGGTTGGCATAGCCAGAAGACGGCCAAGGACATGCACTCCGACAAATCCAGTGACACCTGTGATAAACACACGTCCTTCCTCGTTGGACTGCCAGTCTGGCACAACCGGGATATCGTCGGCCAGTAGAGTGTCCCCCTCCATGGTACCGGTATTGACAAGACAAGGGCGGGTTTGTTTGGTCTCCCTTAGCATGGTGGCTATCTCGGCCACAGTTGGATTTGCTAAGAGCATATCCATGGTCACCTTTTTACCAAATCGTCGCATCATAAGTCCAATGAATTTGGCTGCTTCGAGAGACGACATGCCCAGTGAGAAGATATCGTCACTTTCCAGCAACTCGGGCACATTAATGAGCCCCCGTACCATAAGCTTCAACGTGTTGGTGAGCTCACTGGCAGCTTGCTGTGTATTATTGTCCACGACTGATGCTGTATTATAACCTTCTTTTGACTTCCTCTCTCCCTCTTGAGCCAAAGCCCCTCGGTCAATCTTCCCGTAAGCAGTTAGAGGAAACTCTGAGACCACAGTGAATTGGCTGGGTACCATATACGGTGGCAACCTTTCCTTGGCGTAATCCTTGACTGCCTTCAAGCTCAAGTTACTATCTTCCTCCGATGGGATAATATAGGCAGCAAGGATTTTATCAGCAAATGGACACTGCTGCAGAACCACAGCTTGCCTAATACCGTCCATTGTCTCGAGTGTTTTTTCGACGTCTCCCAACTCCACCCGAAAGCCGTCCTGCTTGACCTGCATATCAAATCTTCCTCTAAATTCCAAAGTCTCCAAGGGGATTCTCCACTTGGCAAGGTCGCCAGTTTTGAACACACGTATAGGCCCCGCTGAGCCTTCTTTCAGCGTGGATGCGTCTAGTTCGATGAAGTGCTTTGCATTGGCATCAGGCTGATTGAGATACCCCCGCGATAACCCTGGGCCCGCGAGATAGATCTCCCCTTCCCGGTCGCCGCGCAAGATCAGCTTCTTTTCATCATCCAGGAGGTATATTTTTGTCTGTCCTACTGCGCTGCCGATACCAATAGTCTCACGCTCGGTCTCCTTGAGATCAACAAGCTGCAAGGTGACAAATGTTGTGCACTCAGTGGGCCCGTAGCCGTTCCATAGATACTTCGGTGCACCCTCGGTGAGAACATCTCGCACTGCCTTCACATTGGGAGCTTCACCACATGCCATCACGTGGCGGGCGCCCTTGAAAGCAGAAGGACAGGTAGTAGCCACAATCGTAAAGAGAGCAGTGGGAAGCATCATCACGGTCACTTTATGCTTCTTCACGAAGTCACCAAAGCTAAATGGATCCGTTGCGGTAGACTTTGGTACGACGACAATTGTTGCACCGGCAAGCAACGTAACCCAGATCTCAAAGAGAGATAAATCGAATCCGGGGTTATTGACTCCAGTCACCCGGTCATTTGGATCAAGAGGCGTCACCGGCGTCGAGCTTGCTAGGTGCAGTATACTCCGAGCAGAGATTTGTACTGCTTTGGGTCTTCCCGTTGATCCTGATGTAAAAAGAATGTGACTGCGGTGGTGTTCTGGGAAACCCGAGAGCACCTCTATAGCTTGCACATCTTCAGTAAAACAGGCCTTGGTGTCCGCGACGTTATCAACAAATATTACATCATAGCCAGAGACTCTTTCGTTCAGATCTGTGGTGGTTATGATATGTCTCGCATCAATGTCGCTGAGCATGTCATTCAGGCGTTTCTGAGGCATAGACGGGTCGACTGGCACGCAGCTTCCGCCGGCCCGTAGCACGGCCACTTGAGAGATAATCTGACTATACCCAGTTCCAAGAAAGATACAGATTGGTTCTTCAGGAGCGATATGTTTTTCGTGTAGCGGCTTCACCAGTCGATCAGCGCGTGCAATCAGCTCTTCATATGTAAAGGTGTGCTCTCCGTCAATGATGGCAGGAGCTTTTGGACAACGTCCGGCCTGATAGCAGAGTAATTGCTCCATGGTTTTCCTTAGATAATATGATTCAGTTACTTTACAAGTCTGCAAAAGAAGCCTTTGTTCATATAGTTTAATGGAGAAGCTTAGCTACTTAGCACGTAGCTTGCTGGTGATTTATATTTTAGCTACCGCTGCAGATCGGATCAGTAAAGTAAACCATCCAAGGCCATTGAGAAGTAAGCTCTTCACATCATTATGATACAACCCAGCTCATTGAAGTTAATAAGGGCTGTCGTCCCGCACAGCATGCCGATTGATTGCATGTAATGCAGTCTAGACCTGGTCTGGTGCACAAAAGAATGTTTAAGGTAGCTGAAAACAGCCAATTTTGCCCCATCGATATCATGACTGGCTTCCAAGTTGTACAGAGTATGATCTATGACCTCAGTACAACGTTTACCGAGTGGCGAGGACGCTGCAACCGGTGAGATAGACTGCTCTGGGTCTTCCTTGAAAGCTCGATGTGCCATAACAGCCTATGTTAGTTGCTCCTAGTAACCTATGAAACCAAGGAAGTCCGCAATCAATCTCAATTTGCATTCGGAACCAGATTAAACCTTCTAAGGATAAAGCCTGCAAATGATTTGTAAATGACGTCCTATGCACTAGTCATATTTAATGTCCGAATTCTAGAGTAAAACGTCCAGATTTCTTCCTATCTTCGTATCAAGATAGCACCCTGCTTGATTCATAGCAAATTAGGGCAAAAATGGCTTCCCAGATACCACCGTATCTGATAGAGGAGTTGGAATCACTTTTCACGGGCATAGACCAGGTTATTAGTCCACAAAGCCCCGGCTATGAAGAATATCTGCAACGGTGGTCTGATCTTGCCACTCAACGAGCTGTATGAGATAATTTCACCTCAATAAGAACCTGCTCAGGTGGGCTAACTTTGGTAGGGAGTGATTATATTTCCTGAAAGTGCACAAGATGTCTCCAAGGCTGTTCGCTTTTCCCGACGACATAATATAGACCTGGTGGTCAAAGGCGGGGGTCACACTCCTGATGGTGGGAACTCCAGCGATGGGGGTATCACCCTTGACCTTAAGAGAATGAAGAAAGTCTCTCTTCATTTTGAAAGCAATACTGTCACTGTTCAAGGCGGCGCACTGTGGGCAGATGTACACCATACTACCGCTGGAAGTGGCCTTGTAGTGGCCAGCAGCACAGTCAGTACTACAGGAGTTGGTGGTGTGACGCTACAAGGAGGATATGGGTATTTGATGTGTGCGCATGGATTGATTATCGACAATCTCCTGTCTGCACAGGTGATTATCGCTGACGGACAATTATTGACCGCCTCGGAGAGCGAGAATTCGGATCTCTTCTGGGCCATTCGAGGGGCTGGACAAAATTTCGGTGTTGTGGTGGAGTTCACCTTCCAAGCCCACAAGCAGCCCGGCGATGTATTTGCTGGGTCGCTTGTGTTCACAGCTGAAAATATGGCAACTATCCTTGAATCACTCAATGCGGCACTCAAGTATAAAGATGGCAAATCCACTGCCCAGTGCATAATTTCCCAGTCTCCCAACACTAAAGAACTGTTGGTGACTGTTGGGATCTTCTACAACGGTCCAGAAAATGAATGCAGGGAGAGGTTTACTGACCTATTCAATCTGGAGACTGTTAGCGCCGATGTTAACATGATGCCGTATGAAGAGGCCAACACCTTGTTTGACTCGGTCAGTCCCCCTGGCGGCCGCAAAAGAATTATCGCATTTGATTTCGCCTCTCCCATTAGGCCAGAGTTTTGCCAAAAGATATACGATGAGGTCAAACTCAAGTTCGAGGCTGAACCAGATTTAACTCGGTCCTACGTAGATTTGGAGTTCTGGGAGATGTCCAAAGTCTGTCAGGTGCCAACTCCGGCGACTGCATTTCCAAGCCGCATGATGACCCAGAAAGGAGTACTTACGCTTCAGTATACAAACCCTGATAAAGACGAGGAGTACCTTCAATGGGCAGTCGACATACAAATGATGTTTCAAGATGAGTTCAAGCGAGCTGGTTATAGACCAAATATGTTTGTGTCAAATTTTACCTACTACACAAAGCGTAAGTCACTGAGGATACCTTGCACTACCTTACCATCTTACTAACTAGGCAACTTTCTAGCGTCTAGTACCAGATCAGCTTCAGACATGTTCGGAGTAAACGGACCGAGATTGGTTGAGCTCAAGAAGAAATACGATCCGCAAGGTTTCTTCAATAAACTGAATCCTATCAGCACATAGTTGCGAGTACAACTTCTATCTGAGCAGCCCATATCCATAGAGGCAATCTGGATCTTGCCAGTCCTGGTTCAACGACGCTTCGAGAAGGCTGACTTGTGCTTTTAGTTGCTCTATCTCGATTCCTGTATTTTCCTTATACAAATAGTAATGCTTGAGATTATCTTCTTTATCTGTGTCCGCCGGTTTAAGTAAAGCCAAAAACTATTCATTCAATGCAAAGCTAAATAAACAGTAGGACAGTGTGCCCCATATGCATGAATAATACGTGCCACTATCTTACATATGCTGTGTCCTCTGCCTAGATATCCGTGGACTTCAATTACATTTATCGCAGTATCTATCATCAGATTCATGTATTTCGCGTGTGGATGTCGAGCTCTTATTAATATGCTCGCTCAAGCGTACATAGAAATGAAATTTCCCGAAGAATCTTGGGAGCCTTTTCCTCCTGAGTTGGCCATCTCGCTTCTTCAGACGAACTTGGATGCAGGGTGTGAGCCTCGCCGAGTCATTGTGGAGACGCATGATTGGAACTTGCAGGTTGCTTACAGTTTATCAACGTAATCCAGTCCTCTCACCCATTCATATCCTTCGGTTGATACTTTTACTAAGGTGTCTGCGTGTCATAATTGCGTCTTCCTTGTATGCTGAATATGGCAGGACCTTGTATAAGTTGATATACAAAAGAGCCATTCAATTCGGAATTCATTCTAACCTAAACAATTCCATTTTGTTCTAGGTCTAGAAACAGACATCTCTCTGCCTTAATTCATTCCTTTTAACTACAGCTAAACCTTATAACATGGGATTCTACGACGTTGCTCCCAAGCCCAAGAGTGTTCTTGGCTATCACCGTGTCCTCGCCCCCTCCGCTGGTGTCAAGGTCTCCCCTCTATGTCTAGGGACGATGAACTTTGGAACTAAATGGTATATTTATCCGGGAGACCGTTCTTGATCCACTTTTGTAGAGTTTTGTTAATATCCTATAGGGAGAGTTTCATGGGCGAATGTAAAAAGGAAGATGCGTTTGCCATTATGGATGCCTTTTACGATCATGGAGGCAATTTCATTGACACGTGGGTGGTAGAGAATCTCACCAGAAAAGGAGGATTAACTGATACTTATACATGCTCAAAGCGCCAACTGTTATCAAGATGAGCAATCGGAGGAATGGATTGGTGAATGGATGAAGGGCCACGGAAATCGTGATCAGATGGTGTAAGCATATATTGCATGCCTATGTTGTTATCTTCTACCTTACTGATTTCCAGGATTGCAACCAAATATGCTATCGGCTATCGGCCCACGCATTTTGATATAGAGCCCATCCAGTCAAACTTTGTTGGTAACTCGATGAAGTCAATGCATCTCTCGGTCAATGCAAGCTTGAAGAAGTTACAGACTGACTACATCGACGTGCTATACCTACACTGGTGGGACTTAACCACTGGCGTTGAGGAAGTGATGCATGGCCTTAATGTCTTGATTAACGCCAGAAAGGTGCTGTATCTCGGCATCTCCGACACTCCCGCCTGGGTTGTTGTCAAGGCCAACGACTACGCGCGGGCAAATGGCCTCCGTCCTTTCTCCGTCTACCAAGGTAGCTGGAATGCGTCACTGAGGGACATGGAGAGAGAAATTATTCCTATGTGTCGGGATCAGGGCATGGCGATTGCTCCTTGGGCATCCGTCGGCCAGGGCAAGTTCAAGTCTGCGGATGCTCGTAAGGCTGCTGCTCATGCAGGATCTGGAAGAGCAGCGGAACCGTCGGAGCGTGAGATCAGGGTGTCTGAGGTTTTGGAGGCTGTCGCTGATCGCAAGAATACTACTCTACATGCAGTGGTAAGTCGGTCTCCCATACTCTTTAGCCTCGAGAAGTAGGAAGGCAGTGATAACAAATTAGTCTCTTGCGTACATCCTCCACAAGGCACCGTATGTCTACCCCATCGTCGGACAACGGAAGGTGGAGCATCTCGTGGCAAACATTCAAGCCCTTAGCATTGCTTTGTCGAAGGAGGACATGGATGAAATTGACACTGCTGTGCCTTTCGATGCAGGATTTCCAAACACCTTCATGTTCTGCGGCAAATATGACCTGAATAAGACTGCCTCAGACGTCATGCTGACAACTTTGTCCGCGCATATCGACTCACCGGCAAACCAGGAATCGATCAAACCTCGTCAGAAGATATGAGAATTGCCTTCTTTTGCGTATTCGATGAGTGTGACGCGGCTGAAAGCAAAGTTGTTCTCAGTGAGCTGCTTAAAACTTCGGATTTGAAAAACCACATATTCCGTGCGCCTTACCGGTCAATCAATGTTAGCTTACGCGGGGTTTATAATAAGTATGCATAATATGGATTCTATTCGCTGCGATATGCAATAGTAAGAATACTGCCGGTAGTGAGCATCCTAGTTTATATTTTACTGGCGGTACCTGCCGCTATCGTCGATTTCAAATTCAGGCGTATGAGAGAATCTCTTTGTGCCTCCCACGGTCCGCCTTCGAATCCGCATATGTGACCGGTTGGGAAGGATCGAAGAACTTTGTATCGTCAAGCCAGGTGAGATCTCTAATCTGCTGAATACAGCCCGGAGAGGACCGCAATGACAGTGTATGCCGCAGCACACGCAAAACCGCCGAAGATAGCTAGGGGTCTACGCCCAACTTTATCAATGATCAAGAAGCACACTATGGCAGCGATCATCTGCAAAATGTTAAACATACCTGATAGAATAAGGGGTTGCTCAGAAGACTGGTTAAGCACCTGAAATAGAGTCAGTGCATAGTAGATAAAGGCATTAATGCCAGAGAATACTGGAAGAAGCTAATGCTAGCTCCCACGGCTGTCCATTTCCAGGACTTATAGCTGAAGATATTTAGACAGCTAAGGAATTCAAGCTTAAGCCTAGTAGCTCCTAGGTGTCGCTTTGCCTAGACAAGTTTCTGAAAGGTGATCTTAGTAATGACTCTGCCTGCACCCTGTTGTTGTTGCTAGGTAAGCCTCTCAGCTTCATAATGCTGCGAAGACAGTCGTCAGGGTAATTGACAAGGGCTAACCAGCGGGGTGAGTAAGGGAAAAAGTAAATACCAAGTCCCAGTGCTGTGGCTGTGACCATCTGCAGGCCAAAGGGTAGCTGGAATGATGCTTCACTGGCGATATGCCTCATGCAAAATGTAATCTAAAAGGCGATCACGACGCCAGATGTGATGGAGATCAATTCCAAAACTAAGAGTTCCCTCTGATGTTTTCGGAAATGTACAGAGGTGCACCCTTATCACAATCCCAAGTCAATATTCCGGTCAAGTACACGCGACGGACTTGCTCAGTCACTTACCAAGGCAAGCGTACCAACACCTATACCTCTGATACATCTTCCTGCCATAAGAGTGGCATAGTTTGGTGCAGCTGTCCGGAGAATAGCACTAATATTAAATATCACAACCACAACCATCAGTGCCCACTTGCGCGAGAACCAGTCCACCACATAGGGCATGAAGATGCAGCCAACAAAAGCACCCAGCAACAGCATCACAGTCATAAACTCCATGCCAAAGGCAGATGCCGCAAAGGGGTAGGCGTGGTGGAATTGCTCCATAACATTGATGATGGAGATGACTCCCATATCGTAGCCCATAGAGAAGCCGCCCAGAGAGGCGAGGACCGCCGCGCCGAAGACATATTTCGAGCTGAGGAGACCTTTAACCCCCGAGGAGCCGTAGGAGAACGAAGCTCGGATCCGCAATAATTTGTTCATTGTGTTCTGATGATACCACCGCACTGTCAGCCTTGCTGGACAGATGCTGTTTGTTTTCGTCAATGGCCATGGCCGGTGCAGAGGAAGTGGTGATATGGACTCAAGAGAAGTGCAAGATGATGGCTGTAGGTCTTGGGTGCCGAACTGATGTCCCCCGAGCTGTTATTTATATTTGACCCTTGCCAAACCATGCCTTTTGAGAAAATGTTTCTCTTTTCTCATAACTCCCGGAATGATTGAACCTTTAGATTCCGGAGTTTCATTTGCGGGGGAGGAGTCTTTGCTACTTTAGGCTTATTACTAAAAGAGGCAGGGGTCGCCGATGGCTGTGATAACCGTACCAAATCTGTTACAATTCTAGGTAGACTTTCGTTGGCCAGGAGATAGGGTGACTTATTGCTTGTGGTTTTTCTTTTTTTATCTCGACAAGCTTTCTCTAAAGCGGGAAGCAAACCTGACTTGCTAGGACCGTGCGAGCCTTACCGATCTTTGAACCCACAGATGACTCGTGTAATCTAGCCTATAATGCTAGTGCAAAGCATAATCTGAATAGGGAACTTTCCCCGCGAGACGGAATGAGCTTCCAGATCAAGCAAACTCTCTCTCAAGAAATGGTCTCTCGAGAAATTACTAGATATGGAAAGAATGCGGCGACACTATAGAAGCGCCCCCATCCGACGTCACACGCAGGCCCCATGTAATTGGATCTCATACGCGACATGTTCTGCAGAGTACCTGCCACGCAGCTCATTCGAGAAGGCTCGTGGTCAACCATCGGCGATGACCTACAGGCGGCGATTCTCGGGCCCCCCCCCCCCCCCCGCCAACCCCACCCCATCGGTTCTTGCACGGTACACGATGCATCGAATTCGGATAGTATCTATCATGCGGGGAAGCCTGCGGTTGCGCCGACTGAGAGTATGAATCTGTTCCAGAGCAGAGGCCGGAGGTTAATAAATGACGCCGATCTCCGACGGTGCAGAGTCGCAATCTACCAGTTGACTAGGCGTCTGCATTATTCCATCCTCGCTCTCGTCATTACATTGCCTACATCCAGAGACCACCACCGCGTAGTCGAATACGAGAGCGTCACGTCTTAACAGACCCTGAACCATGACGAACTGGGACCGCCGTGTCAAGTTTGCGCTTTTCGGCCTCGGCCGCCTGGGAGTCCTTCGAGCCCGCATCCTCGCCTTCCAGCAGCCTCGGATCGAACTCGTCGCGGTCTGCGATGTAAAGCCAGGCACTGACAAATGGGCCGCAAAGAATCTGCCCACGTCTGTCAAGTATTTTTCAGACCCTCAAGAATGCTTGAAGAACAGCGGCGCCGAGGCCATCCTCATCTGCACCGCGACGGCTACACACGCCCCCTTGATCCTGCAGGCCCTTGATCTAGGCTTGCACGTCATGTGCGAGAAGCCCATCTCTGTAGACGTCGCTACCACCAAGGCAGTGGTTGAGAAGTCTGTGTCTAGGCCTGACCTCAAATTCCTCGTTCCCTTCACTCGCCGATGTCAGTAACACTAGGTCCCGCGCTTTGCAGAGTTCAGAGACTGACTCGCGCCAGATGACAAGGCCTACCGCCAGGCTAAGGCCCTGATCGACAATGGAGACCTGGGTGAAATCCACGCCGTTGAGACGACTGGTATCGATCAAGCAGATCCCAATGGTATGGCACTAATTGCCCCCAGTCGTTGTCTTCCGCATAGGCTGATAGACTGACTATCCTTGATTAGCCTTTTTCGTGTCCTTTTCTGAGCAGTCTGGCGGCATCTTCCTTGATTTTGGCATCCACACCGTCAGTCCCAGTTTTTCTTCTCTCTCTCACTGACAGTCCAATCTACTAACACGGCACTAGGTCGACGCCGGACGATACCTCTTAGATGTCAAGTCAGGCCTCTCCAACCCCAAGAAGCAAGTCAACAGAGTCATCGCCTTCGGCCAGGTCGCTGTCTACGGGGACTTAGCCAAGTATGGCGACGCCGACAACGCATGGGGCTTGGTGGAATTTGCCAATGGCAAGATTCTCAAGAATTACCTCGGTCGCACGCTCACCAGCGGTTTCGAGGACACGACTCGGTTGTGTGGCACCAAGGGACATTCGATCATCAGCGCTACCTCGAATGTTGAGATTCGCGACCATCTCGGTATTCGCACACAATCTGTGCCTGACGCGTTCACTCTCTTCGATGCGACGTTCCTGGCTGACCTTGCTGAATTCGCCGATGCGGTGCTGGATAACAAGCCCTTGACTTGTCAACCAGAGGATGCCTTCGAGGCGGGAAAGATCTGCGCTGCTCTGCAGTACTCATTCCGCAAGGGGGTGCCCGTATACTTCGACGACAACGGTCTACCCATCATGGAGTAAGTTAGGAAGCGATTGCATATATTACAAGATGAAAGAATTTCCGATCAAAACGGGCTGTGCAGCCCGTATGGAGTGCTTCGTAAACTGTTGACCTTAAAGTTCTGTGCGAGAAATTAGTTTTTAACGTACATGCCGAGAATCAGCGCGTGGTCTCATAACTAATTGAGGGAACGCGTCCTGAGTATCCTGATCAACCAGTCTGTGTGCCAATGATGAACCTGATATCTTTAATGTCATTATCTCTTTCCTTGGTCCCCTCTTCATGCTCGTGGGGTTAGATATTATGTTGCGGCAAGTCATCCTTTAATGTAGATGGAACCTCAATGATCCGTAAGTGCGCGGGGCCATAACTAGCATTGCGAGTGACAGTGAGTCTGGCACTATAATAGTAAGACTGCATTAGCTGGAGACATGAATAGCATGTCTGTTGTTGGGGGAGAAAGGAGCTGCCACGCACCTCATCTGTCACATTTCACTTTTATGCGACTACATTCTCTGTGGATGCAACCCGTAATCATACTCTGCGTATGGGTACTTAGACTTCCATGAGGACTTACCCTGACAGGTCTAAGCCGCTCCCTGTCGCCGTTGCTTTTTTGCCGGTCTTAGACAAGGATCGGCTTCGTCCGAGTTCTGCCACCGGTCCATCGTGTTGTCCGACTCCGATGTGAATAAGTGGCTTCATACCAGTCACTTGAACCCTGTGAGGCAATGACGGGCGAACCTCGCCGCGAGGCATATCCAGAAACAGCAAGTCAAGTATTAAGACAGGCAAAGGTCGGGGTTTTGTCAAGTCATGTGAATGTTGTTGATATAAGACTAAATACGGTTGAAATGCGGCGAGACTTTCCCGGTTCGGAGATTTGAGTTGACCAACTCCTCATTTTGTGGGGCTTATTTATTGTAGATATACAGTAGATATATAAATCGTCCAATGTTTTGGTCGTTGAAGGGCGTATATTTGCAGCTCGGAAGCATTTAGTATTTTCGCGAGATCAGGTTGTGAGCATTGCCTAAGAGGCACCTTTTCAACATCTCCTCCCATCATAATAAGAGAAAATGGCACCTTACGTTCAAGAATCCGCTGGCACCGATCCAGTCTCTACGGCTAGCCTCCAGTCTAAGAGGGCGGTGCTCAACCACGACCAGGTCCCAAAGCCCGTCGCGGACGACTTCATGTACGCCTTCAGGTACAACCACAGTCTCCCCACTACCGACGTCTTAGGCGTTGAGATCCCCGCCGACTGCGATGCTCAGAAGGAGGCCGAGGGCATCGTAGCCCGTCTCTCTACCGCCACATCAAAGGGAGATGCGCAAGCTTTCGCTGGGCTGTTCCTCGATTATGGTGAGACCCTTTCAAAAACAAGGGCCGAAATCCCGACTTTCGCTGACTTCGAATGTACAGGCGTGTGGCGTGACAAGCTCTCATTCACCTGGGACTTCCGCACATTTAACTTCAGAGCGGCCATCTTAAAGGCCGCTACCGACCTTTTGCCTCAAACCAAGGCTAGAAATTTCACCTTTCTCGAGCCTGCGCCTTCGGTGTCTCGCCCTTACCCTGACTTCTCCCAGCTACAATTCGTTGTATCCTTCGAGACTGAGATTGTCCTTGCCTCGGCCGTCATCAATGCAGTCCTCACTCAAGATGGCTGGAGAATTTACACAATGCATACAGTTGCCGAGAGTCTCAAGCAGTTCCCCGAGCAGGGCGCACCAGATGGGCACATGACCGGTATCACTAGCTGGGAGTGTCAGAGAGCCGAGGCCGTCAACAGTGTTGACCCCGAGGTGCTGATCATCGGTGGTGGTCAAAAGTAAGAACCCATGCATGTGAGCTCCATGAAATGATCCTAATTTATTTCTACTAGTGGTCTCGCTATGGCAGCGCGCTTGAAAGTTCTTGGTATAGAAAACCTGATTATCGAACGCAGTGAGGAAGTCGGAGATATCTGGAAGAAGCGTTACGAATATCTTTCACTCCACTTCCCACACTGGCCCGATGCCCTGCCATACTTCAAATACCCTCAGCACTGGCCCACATATACCCCGGCTCAGAAGCAGGGGCTATACATGAAGTGGTATGCCTCCGCTCTGGAGCTCAATGTCTGGACCAAATCGGAGGTCGTGAAGGCCGAGCAGGACGCCGAGGGTAAGTGGACCGTTGTAATCAACAAGGAGGGCAAGGAGAATCGTACGCTGCATCCCAAGCAACTCATCATGGCCACCTCGCTATGCGGTGTCCCTTCCATCCCGGCCGTGCCTGGCATGGCTGACTTCCGCGGAGTGATCCGTCACTCTAGCGCCCACAAGAGTGCCCGTGACTTTGTCGGTAAGAAGGTCTGCGTCGTCGGTACCTCATCCTCGGGCTTCGACACGGCTTACGAATGCGCCCGCCTGGGGGTTGATGTGACCCTCCTCCAGCGGTCACCGACTTACGTCATGTCTTTGACCCATTCTGTTCCTCGCCTGCTTGGAGGGTACGCGCCCGACAAGGATGGCAACCTCCCCAATCTCGAGGTGCAGGATCGTCTCATGTTCTCTACGCCAGTTGGACCTGGCGAGGAACTCGCCAGGCGCACCGCGAAGGTCCTTGAGGAGCTGGACAAGCCCCTTCTCGAAGCTCTTAACGCTCGAGGTCTGCGAACATGGCGCGGCCAGCGCGATACTGGCAACTTCACACTAGGTCAGACCCGGAACGGTGGATTCTACTTCGATGCCGGTGCTTGCGAGGAAATCATCAATGGCAACATCAAGGTGGAGCCGGGCTTCGTTGAGAGGTTCACCGAAGATAAGGTGATCTTGAACGGCGGCCGTGAGAGGGAGTTTGACCTAGTCGTCTTTGCCACCGGATTTTCGAATATGATCGACTCCATACGGGCAACTCTTAGTGAGAAGATTGCCAGCCAATGCGGACCTATCTGGGGTATTGATGAGGAAGGCGAGTACCAGACGGCCTACCGGGAGACGGGAGTGCCCAACATGTGGATCATGGTTGGTTTCCTTCCAATGACCCGGTATGCCTCCAAATTATTAGCTTTGCGACTGAAAGCTCTAAAGGAGGGCATTTCCCCACCCCCTTACAAAGTTTAGATTCCATAGATGAGACAGTGACGAGTTCGCATTCAGGAACTTGTGCCGTACAAAGACCGGGTTTTGTTCATCCACTTCGTAGATTTCGTGACTACGAAACAAATATGAAAGTGCGGGTGAGACAAGATGAGATGTTTCAGGAGGGAATTGGGGGATTGCAATTTCATCATTTCGGTCTAAATCATCTTTTTAGTCTATGACGAATGAAATCTCCCGATTGTAAGATTCTAGATCCACATTTGGCGACTTCACTGTTTGTACCAGTCATTGAAACCGAGATCCCATCCAAACAGAGGCGTATTGATACGCCTCGCCTTCCCTTGTGCAGCCAGGCCATTCAGCACATCCATATCCTCGCGGGAGAGAGGGAAGACTTGACGGTTGCTCAGGATCCGATTTTCTTTAGTAGACTTGGGCAGTACAACAACGCCTCTGTTGACATGGTAGCTGATGAGTACCGTGGCGGGTGAAACACCATATTTCTTAGCAATCTCCTGAATTGCGGGATCGGACATGAGCGGAGCGCCTGAAAACGACCAGGTTAGCTAGCGTTACCTCATGGGAACCGCACATAGCGTGTCAAGGAGCATTTACCTTCGGAGCCAAGTGGTGAATAGGCCTCGAGGAGAATGCCATGCTTGTCGCACCACTCCTTCAGTGCGTGCTGAGGAAGGAAAGGGTGTAACTCGACTTGGTTGACCGCAGGAACCACGGTCCATTTCTTTTTGAGCTCCTCTAGGTAGGGAATCGACCAGTTGGCCACGCCAATCGCCTTCACTTTGCCGGCCTTGTAGATCTCCTCCATCTGGCGCCAGGTCTCACTCTGATCCCAGGATCGGTCGACGGATCGTGTGCCATCGGGATTGACTGGTAGAAGCTCGCTCGACTCGTTCTGTGCGATACAAGTTAGCCATGCAAAATGTCGTGATGGAGGGAAACAGCGGAGTGGCCTACAGGAACTAGTCGGACTGGCCAGTGGATGAGCTGATGTTTATGTTAGCCGATCTATCGACAGCCGTGCCGCGTCTGCCCGAAGGAGAAGAGTGTGGATTTACATAGAGATCAAGGTAGTCCGTGCCTAAAGCGTCAAGTGTCTTTTGGAGACCTTCAGCGACGTTGGGCTGGTGGGTGTTCCACAGTTTGCTGGTGATAAAAATGTTTTCGCGAGGGACACCACTATCCTTGATGCCCTGGCCAACTTCGTGCTCGTTTCCTAGCTATCCCATTAGATCCCAAAAACTTGCTTGTTTTTTTTTTCTTTGCTGCGACCCACCGTAGATCCTGTGATTTATTAGCGAAGACTACGCGCTGCAAAAGAGACGTGGGAACCTTACAATGCTGCGTCGATGTGACTGTATCCGTTCTTGAGAGCGAACGAGACTGCGTGGCGTACCTGACCAGGTTCAGATCTCCAAGTGCCTGTATTTCTTATCAGCGAAAACCGCCAAGGCCCGCAGAATCCAGCGCTTGTATCATACCAAGTCCTATGGCGGGGATCTGGGCGCCGGTATTAAGCTTGAAATGGGTCGGGAGTGCCATAATGATTGTGGTGGGAGACGATGGTGGTGGGAAACCAAAGTGGATGGACCCGTAGCTTTATGCTGCACTTTCGGAGGGAATCACGCAGGACGCGAGAAAGAGTATGCAAATTGAGGGTCTTCACTGGACTGTGCCTAAAGGAAGTGTTCCCCACAGATCGGGCGAAGTCCGGTCCCAGTTAGCTTTCAGTTCCCGCCCATCCACAGCACAACGCGCCGCGACTTTCTGAATACAGTAATATTGTGCGCTCGTCCCCATGAGGAGCTTCAACGTTAGAAAGTGGGGTAGAAGTAGGGTAGACGTAGTCGCCCATCCCCCATCATTTGACGCTGCTCTCCTGGTTGTATTCATTGAGTTTCGCATATCCAACGCAACGCAAGGCTTTAGTACCTCCATCTAGTGAGAATGCCACTGAATACCCCACCAGCCAAGGCACCCTGTTCCAACTGTCGAGGTGAGGTCGAACCGTCGAACCCCGTGTCTAAAGGTAATCTAGGATAACAAGACCGATAATAGCGAGCCATCAAAAATGTACTTCAAAGAACCCGTCAACCTGGCCAGTGCCTAAGGTCTTCCGCTGATGTCTCTTCTACAGGTGACAAGCGACGGCCAGTTTGCACACGTTGCGAAACTAAAGGCCTTAACTGTAAGCCTGTGCAGAAGGAGGCCGTTTTCCGGAATGGCTCGACAGCCAATCTCGATGCGAGCTTTACACAGGGTCAAATATGGGTTAATAGCACACCGAAGATCTGGAGGCCTCCGAAGCACTCGACAGAAAATCCGCCAAATGCAGCCTCGCCTAATAGGCCAAACGAAGAATCCACCGTTCATTCACCCTCACCAAATGGAATCATTCATGGTCGCCAGAAAATCACAAGCCCTACCTTTCCCTCACAAAGAGGCCAAAATGGAGATCTGGATGATACTTCCCCTCACAGCGCTTTTCCCTTTACCTTTCCCTCTCCGGCATTGTCGCCCATGAGCAACCACACTCATCATGACGATACACTTTCTTACTCAGGAGCAGAAAATACCAGCAATGAGCTCAATATTGGATTTGCGAGCGGGTCCCGGAGCGCGAAGGGTGCTGCTGAAGATGATGCATCGTCGCTTTCCAGCACTCAGCCCGCTCTCTCTGCTTCTGCAGGTATCCAGGAATCCTGCCTACTACGATACTTTATTGAGGAAGTGTCTCCCTGGGTACGAGATATCGCTCTCCCCGTGCAACACAACACGTCCTAACCTTCCCAGTTTGATCACTGTGACGATCGGAGGCATTTCCAGTTAGTCGTCCCCTGTCGGGCTCAGCACTGCCCAACTCTTCGATATGCTATATTTGCAGTATCGGCCCGACACTTGTGTCGACTGCCTCAATACAAGACACGTCGCGGGATTCTATATGGTGGGCAGCTACTCCCCCACTTACAAATGTCCAGTGCTGTTGAATATATGCTCAAATGTATGCCTGGTCTGGCCGAGTTCCCTAACATCCAGGACCCGACACACCAAGAGAACATCATGGCTGCCGCCGTCATTCTACGTCAGTACGAGGAGATGGAAGAAGAGACCGGCGAAGGCAGAGGCAGAATCGAAGCTGAGTATTACGATGACGATCGCGTCAACTTTCTGGCTGTCACTCAGAGGATCATTGACTCTATGATCGCCTCTCCGCTGGATCATTCGCTTGCTACGGCCGCATATTGGATTGTCATTCGGCAAGAGATTTATTATGCTTTGACAAGGGAGACAGTCCCGCATTTACGATTCGATTCTGACCGTTGGCGCAATGCTTCCATCGCCAACAATATGATCATGTTCGTCGGTAAAGTCGCTCAGTGGCGCTGGGGGCAAAAGAGCCCTGATGAGTGGAGTAAGTATGCTTTATCTTCCAAATAGGGGATCTCTTGTTGGATAACTCGAATCACAGCACGACTCAAGCTGGATGAACAGAAACTGATTCGTGAATCGCTTGGTAAAATGGAACCTATTCTTGAACTCAAGGCAGATCGAGCTAAAGGTCAAATATTTCCGACGGTCTGGTACAGCTTCGATGTCCACGCGACGGCAGCACAGCATTTCCAACTGGCTCAAATGATCTTGACTGCTGAGAATCCGCAACTTGAGTAAGCTGATATCGAGAAGCAAGGTGGCTTTCTTCAGTAGCTGACGGTGTTTAAGAAAAGCAAATCGTGTGGCTCATCGCAAAGCAGAAGCTCAAGTTCGATCGATCGTCCTCAATCTATGCGGTATCGCTTTGAATCACCTACGAGTGCAACCCTGCCTGGTAAACGCAGTCATTGCTATTACTCTGTACGGTGATTACTTTACCGATCATGAGGAGCGCGAGGCATTAGTTGGCATCATCAACCGGACAAGAGACTTACATGTGTGGCAGATGAAAAAGCCATATCAGACTCTGCTACGACGATGGGAAGCGGCCGACAGTGCAGAGATATGAGGCCTACGAGACGGGGCCCGCCGCCCCTGTCGGCCCTCTTGATTATTATACTTATTAAGACTAATTAAGTATTTAGATTTTACTACTGCTTCTTAGAGTATTCGATGACACGGTTAGCAGGGCGCCAGAAACGGTCCTCATTGAACCGTCTGTCTGCCGCCCGCGGCCATCTATGGCGCCTACCCATCCCAGTATAGCACCAGTAGCTTACAACTTTTACTTCCCTCTGCCTGCTGCCCCAGGACATATAACAATACTATATAACCTAGACCTCACTCCTTCAAAAGATAACATACTTTTCTCTTCCCTTTTCCTCTTCACCTGTCTAGTTTGCGTGTCCGAGTTCGGGCGAGTTTAATCCTAGTTGGAACCAAATCTGATCTGTTCTGATTTGTTTATTGCTGATCGACTGCCAGGCATTAATCTGTATATCCTTAGTGCGGGTATACAACATTCTTGTCCCACCTACAGCCTTGCCTGCCTAGAGTGTTTCAACCTTATTGCCCATGTACGTCTGCGGGGCAGACTTGTAAGCATAGTTAATTACTAACCTAAAGGCAGCACCATATAAGCTTGTATTGTATACCAGGGAATTCTTAAGGGCTAAACCACCCCTTTTAATGATTAGAATGGAAAGGCAAACATCTTCTAATAGTCTGTTTGCCAGCACTAAGCCACATGCGCCACCTCCCACAATGATGTAATTATATGAGAGAAGAGATAGGACAGGAAGAATTGGGGTACATTCGATCAAGTACTCATTTCTCTCACGAGGTTACGCTCAGCTGTACATACTTCCAAGCTCAGGTGACAATATCTGAATATCCTGAAGACAAGCATTCTGGCATCTGCACGGTGCACGTCGTCTCCAACAATCGGGGGAGTGAGGGCTGCAATCTTGCGAACCGGCGCCACTCCACTGGTCATTTCATAGAAGCTATCATCAAGAGTAACAAATATGGTTCTAATTGACAGCATAATGCCTCAAATAGTTATGTTTGGGATGCGCAATGTAGTCGAACAGAGGCCTGTAGATTACTATAGCACGGCCGCGGAGTTTCGGGATTAAACGCCTAAGTCCGTCCTTCACGCTCTCCAATTCTTTTCGACTGAATCCATCTTCTACTCGATCTTCTTCCATGAATCATTGGATCGTCCTCATTCTTCCAAAACCCGACATTAGATTCGCAACCCATTTCCCTGAAGATCGAGGTGGTACACACGAAATGGATGACCCCAAAGAGCGGAGAAAAATCCAGAACCGCCTCAACCAGCGCGCCAGCCGTAAGTGACGAAGGATGGAAATCAAGAAGGCGAGATGACTCACAAACACTACTATAGGGAGAAGGAAAGCTTTATTATCCTCAAACGTACCCGAGTCGTCTACTAGAAAGTGGACGGTTTACGTCGCCCCGTCGCAGGAAACAGCGACCTCTCGAAGACAAAACCACAATCCCCCCCAGGGAGAAAACGACGAAGCTACAGTTCATTTCTGCTACGTCAGCTTAGAAACCCGCCGGATCATTTTGAATCTATTACATGACCGCGTCAACAGAGGCATCCTCACCCACGCACTCTCCTCCGAATTACTCCTCCCTGTCACGCAGTGGAACATCATCTGCGCTATGTACACCAACGCCACTACAATAGGCCTGACCATGGCACTCCTAGCAGAAGATATTATCTCACCATTTAATATCTGTGGACCAGTAACAGCAAACCTACCGCCCAGTTTACAACCAACATGCCTGCAGAGATCCATCGTCCATCACCCCTGGATCGATCTTTGTGCCGTTTCCTCCGTCCGGGACGCTGTTCTGCGCAATCTGCATCTCTACTCGGAGGATGAACTTTGCCATGATCTATTCGGTGGCTCCAGTGACTGTACCCAGCCGACGGGTCTTTTGATCTGGGGTGAAGCGTGGGATCCGTCTGCGTATGAGATATCTGAGAAGATGTTTCGGAAATGGGAGTGGCTATGGAGAGAATGTCCCGAGGTGATTCGGTCTACAAATTACTGGAGGTTGCAGCGGGAAGAGGAGATCCTTGTCATTTCCGATTGAACTATTCGATTAGACTGACGTCTTCATCCTACGAAGTACATCTTTCCCACACAGCGCAACGCAGATCCTCAAACAGCAAATGGCTCGTGAAGCATCTGCTCACTAAGTTCCCACAGCTTCACCTGATCATCGTGATTCAGAATGTGACTATTCAACTCATCATCGGCTACGGCGTTGTTATGGAGGAATGCCCCGTTATGTCCTAGCGATGTAAGTACTCAGTGGGAAAAACACGGGAATCTACGCACCTTGGATCGTAGGATCAATCATGCCCGTGATAATAGTCGCGGCTCCTTCAGACTTTGTGGTCCACGGGGGCATTTTGATCGGCCTACCATCAAGGTCGACTAGGCCTGTTCTATGGGGTCAGTGATATTCAAATCCCAAGATGCCACGGGCCGAAAACCTACCACCAGAAGCTCTAAGCCCTGCAACCATTTCCTGGAATTCGGGCGTGAAATGGCGTTGCAGGCCGGACCTGACGGCTATTGGCAGGTCAGCCTCTAGTGTATCGCTGACTGTAGATGAGGGGATGTCACATACCACCAGGATCAATACTAAAGACTCGAATTCCCTGATCTCCCAATTTCTCCGCCAGCGCCTTTGCAAACAAGACCCGGGCAGCGTTGGACTGGCTATATGCCACCAGAGGAATATAGCTTTTGCCCTCCTATCAATAATTAGATCGGCAGAATATAAGTTAAGTGCGGAGACGTACACTAAACCCAACATCCTCAAAATGGACCCTCCCACTTCTAGCTGCACTACTCGCAACAATGATGATCGACGACCCAGACCCCGCAGCCCTCACCTTGGGAAGGAGTAATTTGACCAGCAAGAAGTTGGCCAAGTAGTTCACCCCGAATTGCGTCTCGAATCCATCCTTGGTAGTTCCATAGGGAGGAACCATGACACCAGCAACGCATGCGAGATGGTCGATCTTCGGGATATCGTGCAGGGTATCAACAGCTTTCCTAATACAGCTCATATCTCCCAGATTCATTTTGAGGAACCTGGTATTGACATTGGGGGCTATGGATTTGATTTTCTGAATGATCGGGGTAACTCTTTCCTCAGCTCGAGCGCTGAGGATGAGGAGATGGGGGTCTGCAGCGCTTAGTTGGATGGCAAGTTCGCCGGCTATAGAGTCGCCGGATGCGCCGGTTATCAAGACTGAGGATTATCAGAAGATTATATTGATAGGTACAGGGCAAGGCTACATACTTGTCTTGCCGGCTAGGGAGCTACCATATCGGTGGATGACGGTCTCTGAGGGCAGGATCTGCTGGGAGGACATGGTCATTCTTGAAAAATGGTTATTGATGATTAAAACGTATTGAGTGAATGTGAATTGAGGGAAGATTGCAAAACCAAAGCAAGTTTCTGCTGCTTTATATCTTCCAGCGACCCTGACCTGATGCGTCTTGGTTTTCGAAGTATGAAAAGGCTGCTATGACAGATGCGGTTAGTTTGACGTCAGCATTGCAGAATCCACTTTTCTCTCGTCCTTTATTGGACAACCGTTAAAATAAAATTAGCCGTTACCCCGTGGATGCACTACTGGTTTAGAAATACTTCGTAGCATATACCCATGAAGTCCGGGAGTCCATAGGTATAGATGGGATGTTTGCCTGCGGGACATGCAGAAGGTTTATGGTCTACCAATAAGCTGAGCTATTCTGCAATTCAGAGTTTTAGAGTCTCTTGCTGCTATGACACTATGTCTCAGAAGTTGTCTCAGCTGATTCAAGCATTTCAAGGGCTATTGACATGGTCAAATCGACCACCTAGGATATTGATTCACTAAATCCTAGAGTATATTTGATTAAGCTGGGATAGATTGGCAGAGCCAGACCATATATATGTGTTTACTACATTTATACGGAGTAAGTGGTGTAGATTGGCCTCACGCCATTAGCCTGGGCGCTTGTCCGCTTGAGAATGAACACAAGCAGGTGGCCCAGCTATTGATTGGCTGGGGCGCAAACATGAGGGCTTTTACTAAGCCTGGACACATACCACTGCCTAGGGTGTATGGCATGGAACTTTCTTCGGACATATTTTGGAACCATATCGACTGACGCCCATCTAGAAAGGGGTAATGGAAGGAGTGAAGATATCTACGTGGTGGTCATGCGACCTGGCGGTATACCTAAGCAGGCAGGAAAGTAAAGCTCTAAAGAGAGGCCGCCTCACTAAACTCTTGGTAAACCCCTTATGAGGCCTGTTATGTATTAAGGCATATAGACAATGGTAGTCATCTCACCAAGCTCTACTTCATTTACTGCTTTTCAATTAATTCCACTATAAGCTAGAGCTCCTCTTTGGAAAGTTAGCCGAATATTAGTCAAGCACAAGGCCAAAAGACAAACATTACCGCGAGATGCCTGCCATCTCGCGCATCAGTACCTATAATATAGCGCATTTGATAGGGTTACTTAGATACCGTCCATTCGGATCTTGTTCAGTTGCATCCTACTATGAAGAGGAGCATTTCTGAACCCAATGGGTCAGGGAAACAAACCAATATTACACTCACTGGGCATCCTTGCAAGAACACCTGTTTGTAGCTCGTGGTTTGCGAGTTATATCATCGCATGGCTTCCTAGGTGTCTAAGCTTTGAGAAGTGACAGCCAGACCGTGTAATTATTGAGGCGGTCTTTGTGGGAGACTACCATGAGCATATAAAGAGATCTCTCAGCAAAATGGAAGTTAGCAGGGCAATTGAGATCATTCAGACCAGAGTATATCATCAAATATAGGTGAGCAAAAAACATACAACAGCATGTCTATGTTGGTGCTCACCCGTCCCAGCGTCTGCTCCCTCGCCGCTTTGCCGCCCAAGTTCCGGCACCTTCAGGTGAATATTCAGGTGCCTGAATATTCTGCACTCAAGCTAAAGAAGTCACATTTTGGCAAATAGGCATAAAACCCATGATGTGTCCATCTTACTCCATCTCAATTCCTTCCTCCATACTCCATACTCCAGGTTAATCGGACAATATGCCACGAAGAGATCCATTAGCAAAGTTTGACGACTGCGTGATCGATCTCAAAAGATTTGATAATAAAGAGATCAAAAGAGCGGTTCTTCCACGAACATCCAAAAAATATGAACGAAGTCTGGAAATTTTCGACAAGTAAGTCCCCTGAAGCTACAGAGGCTCGCCGCTCATCCTCTCCAGATACCTAAAGGGGCACCCCGACGCCCGCTGTCCCCCAGATATCCAAACATATAAAGCCTTTTTGGTATATTATGCAAGTCGCACAACAGGTCGTATTAAGGGAAAGCCTACACCAGAGACAATTGAAGGTTTTCGCCTTTTTTTTGAGACAGGTCTGGCTCGCATGAGGGGTTTCAGTGTCCCAAAGAGCGTGTCTACTACCATGAAGGAGGTATGCATTCTTATGCCCCATCTAGCTCTACACCTAACAAATGTCAAAGTGGATCAGATCAGACATGAAGAACGAAGTTTCTCTTGCAGTAGATGCTGAGATGCCAAGAGATGGACTGTCTCCAAATGATTTGACAATTCTCCTAACACAGCTCTGGTGTCGGGACTTTAAGGAATACCGCGGCAAGTATGCCGACCGGAGTCGGGTACAGCTTACCGCATCAATATTACTCTATTGCTTTACTTCTGCTCGAACCGGAGAGGTGCATGAGTCAACAGCGCGTCGATCTATTTCCCGGCAGAAGGATAGCTGCGATGACAAGGACAACAGCTATGGCAGCATGCTACAAGGTCCGTATTCAGCGATCCATATTTGGCGGAAGCCTTGTGAAGCTGAGCATGCACAGCATTTTACCCTCACCATCGAGCTGGTCGATGGCATTCCGATGTTGGTGTTGACCTATGCTCGGCAGTTCGTAAAGGGGTATTGGAGAATGAGAAAGTGGGAACCTCCAATCCATGCTTTCTACGAGGTGTACAAGGAGGAAGTGCCACTCTTTTTTAACCTACTTTTGTTTATGCTCCCGTTGTTTTCGGCTGACCGAGCTTTCCGCCATTACAAATCTTACGCCGAGATCCTTGACGAACTGGACTCCATCAAGCCCTGTGACTTGGACTCGCAAAGTAACCACGTCATCTCCAGGATTCATTTTCGAGAAGATCTCTTGGATACTCCCGTTTTTAGGCCACGGAATGAGCTGGATTGTGAAAAGTCCACTGGCAGGGCGAGAGGCGCTGATTCCTTTGGAAAAGAGTTTGCTGCTCTTGGGTATCGGAGCGGATATGAGAAGAATGTTACTGCCCGTGCCTGTCGACGGTGGTCCCTCATGGAAACTGGTAAAAGATATGCTGATCTAAAAGGTGCTGTCTGAGTCACTCACATGTCGCAAATAAGAAATATTCCCAGGCAGCTCGAATGAAGCATGCCTCACACACAGAAGCACGGACTTTTGGCCGATCATATGCGCACCCGTGTGCGAAGTGGATGGACCCGCAACCTACCTGAATATCGCTTCCCGCCATGAGCATATCCAGAATCGACGCAGCATGGGCGTGCACCGTAATCCAAACTTATGACAATCTCTACCGGCCAAAGCAGAATTTGAATTTCAGGAACGAGAAGACGTCATAGCCCTTGATAAAGAATTCGAGCGTCTTAGCACCCAACTTGCAAAGGCCGATACGGAAACTAAGAAGGAAATTCAGTTACAACGACGTCGAGTACAGGGGCAAAAGGATAAACTGTATCTTGAGGAACTTAAACGACAACGTGTCCAACAGTGTACTCAAACCGGAAGCGTTTATGAACAGACCCTCTTCCACTACCGCCGACGAGCTATGCCTGAGCGGGACCTCCTCGCTCATTGCCAGAGAAGTCGAAAACTATACGAAGCCCAGTCGGACTGGAGGTCATGGAGGCGTTGGAAGCAATCTGCAACCAGTATCATCAGGTTGCCTATCGATCGGGTCTACAACCAGTAAATGGCACATGCGTTTGTCGTCAACCAATAGATAGGTAAGTATTCCCTCTTCATATGCACAACCCTTGCTGACTCTTTAGGTTTCGTCCCCATCGCCGATGGCTTCATCTCTATCGTTGCTACAAAAGATGCTTCGTCAAATGAGTGACGATGATTTTGCGGAGTTCTGCTATGAGTGCGGCCTGTGGTTCAACAATCAGAATGAATGGCATCAGCACTGTCAGGATCACCTCAGCGAACCTAGCGAACTACTTCGCTGTGATCCGATTATATTCCGGAATTGCCCAGTCAAACCTGGCTACTGCCCTTTCTGTCTGGGTAACACGAGCCTAGGGCCAAGTCGACAGATGGAGCAGTATCTCACTTTAGCCACCTATCCGGCGAGTTTCATTGCCGGCACCCCGCATGTACACAGGGATGCGGGTCCTTGACAGAGCTCGCATGCCATCTTGAAGATGTCCACTGCTATAAGCCTCCTCGGGGAAAGAAGCGATCGTTGGAATCATGAGCGCGTGTGGTGACCGATGTTGTGCTTGGTATTCGTATATTATATTGTTTGTCTAAATGATCTTGGATTTTCTTTTCAGCCAAATAGCTCGTACCCGTAGTTCTTGTGGACGACTGAATGATAGCGAATAGGAAATACTAAAGCCCCTTAATCCCTCATACGCCTCCGCTGCCCTGCAGATGTAAGATGGTGACTGAAGTTAACTGCGTGCCATTGACTATACTTAGAGGCACATAAAGAACTACAATTTCCTGTCTTCACCGCAGAATTCCCGCCGGCTGACATGCCATGGTATTCTCGACTTTGCTCCGCCCCTGTCACGACGTAACCAGCAGTAATTCAGGAGCGCGTTCACTGGGCATTCTGGTCCATTTCTTTTCAAGCGGTTGGAAGATAAGCGATATCTCTTGTTCCTGGCACCACATATAAAAAACTGCATTACCCAGAAGAGCTGTTTCTTTATCCCGAATCCAACATGCAGTTGTTGTCAGTGATTGCAATTGTTGTCGCCAGCGCTTCTGCAATGTACAATCCGGTAAAACTCATAGCCTGGGAGGAAAGCGATTGCCAGGGGAAAAAATTTTCTATCTCCCTCTTTGACAACATCGGTTTTGCACGGAATCTCTCCAACGCTTTTGTATCCCGCAGTTTCAAGCTCTCTCGTCCACTCCAATGCCAGGAACAGCTTGATATTTCCGTAACGCGTGAACTTGATACATGGTTCCCAGATAAGGACCAGGCTGACCAGCTGTCCTTCGACAGCCCGTCATGTGACCATTTCCTCCAAAGCTATTCTGCTCTTAATGGGAGTGCAGAATGTCACAATACACCTGAGTTTACTTGCCATCGGTTGTGGATGAACCCTGGCCTCTAAGTCGATCATTTTTGCCATGCGGAATCTCTTCATCTTGAGCTATGAAGGAAAGTGAAGGTCAAAGTCGGTTTCGCCCAGATGTTACATACTCCATCTGCTACAGACGTGTTCGAAATCACTTTCGTTGTCGAAGACATCTGTATTGTTTTCCAACCCTAATGCCAAGCCAGTATGTGGATTACGCACTTTTTATGCAAGTATATACGCCTGTTTTGTATAGTAAATAAAAGTCACATGAATACAGTACACGGAACATGCTGGTATGGCGATAACAGAGTCTAGAATTCCTCACATGAAATCTTGGCCACACCTGGTCGAAAGAAGTCGAAAGATCGCGATCATTCTACTACCAGAGCAGATAAGATATAGTGCTCAGTTCTTCCAGGCCCTCCGTCTAAAAAGAGATTTGAAAATATAAGAGAGTTGTAACTACCTAGAAAATGTGATTATATAAACTCTGCCGTTTCTGCACCCAAGTGCTATAGCACCATCTTTGACTGTTGAAGCAGTGGGCTGATAGTCTGGAGGGAGCCATAACTCCCTTTGACCCTGTATAGTAACCCAACGACCTGCCTGCAAAGATAGCTCAATATTTGTTTTAGAGGAATCTGACAAGAAGCTTTCGTACCAGGCTTGGATATTAAAAGATCCCCGGTTAGTGACAAGGTAGGGAAAGGAGAATTCAATGTCATTAACATAACCGTCAGTACTTATGGTGTGCTTGAGGGCGCCTGTACTGGGATCCCAGAGCTTGAGGGTGGCGTCACCGGAGCCAGATGCCAGCAGTCGGCCATCTGCTGAGAAGGCCACCGACCAAACTGAGTCTGAATGGCCCTCCAGGGTGTGCTTGAGGGCGCCTGTACTGGGATCCCAGAGCTTGATGGTGTTGTCCCAGGAGCCAGACGCCAGCAGTTGGCCATCTGCTGCGAAAGCCACTGAGTGAACTAAGTTTGAATGGCCCTCCAGGGTATGCTTAAGGCCGCCTGTACTAGGATCCCAGAGCTTGATGGTGTTGTCCCAGGAGCCGGACGCCAGCAGTTGGCCATCTGCTGAGAACGCCACTGACTCAACTGAGTTTGAATGGCCCTCCAGGGTATGCTTAAGGCCGCCTGTACTAGGATCCCAGAGCTTGATGGTGTTGTCCCAGGAGCCGGACGCCAGCAGTTGGCCATCTGCCGAGAACGCCACTGACTCAACTGAGTTTGAATGGCCCTCCAATGTTTGCCTATCAGGACTCCAGCTTTCTTCTACCCTTGGGCATTGTTGTATCCAATTAGGCAGCTCTCCTTCAAACCTCCTCCTAATTATTGCCAACTTTGGCGCGAAGATCAGCCCAGAACAATAGATCTGCAGCGGGGCAATATCTGCTATCTGACTGATCTTCAGGATAAACCGCTGCGCATCATGCAGAAATTCAGATATCCCAAGATCGCTTGCATTGTCCTATAACTCTCAGTTTAGATATCGTCGGAAGACCAGATACCAACTTACCTGCACTACTAACTGTAAAGTACCAATGCATCCCAGAACTTCTGACACAATGCCTAGCATGCTCATCACCTCCACCCAATGAAGGAAATGATTATCGAGGAATCCCAAGATATTATCAATCTGGCTCATGGGATCTTTGCTTCGTGCCAGATGGCGGGTCCAATAACGACACGAATACTGAAGCTCTGGTGGCAAATAGTGATTGATAGACTGGGTGTCAATATTTCTTCGCTCTGTTCCATAGTTTTGGAGATTGCACATATTTTTTTTCAGCTGACCATTCATGACGGAAAGACAGTGGGTTGTTAGTTTTTGGTCTATTTGCTTCTCATCTACCCAGAATGGAGTCTTCTCACGAGTGTTGGAGTCAAGAAGAAAGTCACGAAATGATTGATGAAAGAGCCTCACTGGCAGCATCTCGTTATTTGGCACGTGCAAGACCGAGTGCAGCGAATTTAGCCTGGCATTAATTGAAGATTTAGCAATCCCCGTGAGCTTCCAGAGGGCCGTGACGGAGAGTGGGCTCTCAAGAAGGATAATCATTCCAACAACTTGTCGCACACCCTGAATCACTTGCTCTCGTCTTCTCCCATTATAGTTGGAAACAAGGCGGTCCAGTACTGGAAGGTACGTTCCATCCAGCTTAGACTCTTGGCTTTGATATTTGAGGATCTCAGTGAGACACTGCTCTGGGTCCAAATTATGATCTTCAAACACACGGCAGATGGTGGCAGCAAAAATAAATAGTGGCACCGACATGGTAAGCAGGGCTTGGATGTCAGGCTTTCCAGGCCAGCCCATAGAAAGAGCGCGCTCCTTCCTAATTTTGGCCAGCTTGTGTTCGAGGAACAAGGATATGTCGCGTTCTATTATTGGCTCGGGAATCTCATGAAGTATCAAATCCTGGTGGCTATGTTTAACCGTCTGAAAGCCTAAGTGGATGGGTAGTTCAGGTCGACTGGTAACGAAAAATCGCAAGGGTGCATAGTTTGACTCCTGAACACGTGGTAATAGTTCGAGGATGACTCTGATATCGTTGTCATTTTCACATTCATCTAGCGCATCAATCACAATCACTAGAGGTGAGCTCTGATTTTTTGGTTGATTCAAGCTGTGGAGTGGTCGGTAAATGAGCTCGTTAAACTGCTCCTTGAGTGGTTTGGCGGAAATTCCTGGATTATCCCTGATTACCTGTAAGATAGCAGGGCGTATTTCTGGGATTTTGGTAAATAGCTGCTTTGAAATAGTTGTGAAGAACCGAGCTGCTTTGCCACGATCTCCGCCACCTCTCTTGAAGAAGAAGCTCGCCGCCAATAGCCCTCGCTCTTTAAAGGATTTGGCCACAGTTCGCGATATTGTGGACTTGCCAGTCCCGGCCAAACCGTTGAGCCAGAAAATACATTTTCCTTCGGGTGAGACAGCCCATTCTTCAATATTAAGAAGAAGCTCCTTTCTGGTTCCCGGGAGACATTCTTCTTCGTGTTGGTCCATATACGTTCCAAATTCAGCTCCGTCAGCGACCGGTAACTCCTTCAGGTCGATACTTTGTGCCATAGCATTGATTTCCCTAGCCGATGCGCTAGTAATTGAATGAATATGATCAACATTCTTCGATACGTTGTGCAGTTGGTTCTGGATCCCTGTCAGATAACAATTATTAGACATGATAAGATGATTGAAAGTAACTAGAACGAACCGTCCAGAACTTCACAGGCTTTTCGCTCGGCGTTTACCCTCTGAGGCACAATTTGATATAGAAGTTCTTTTGCATATGCTGCTGCCACCATTGCAGCATAGCCTTGCCATTCCTTGCTTTTGTGCGAGTCGGCATAGTCACAGACGCCACGAATGACCAAACAGGGGAAATGGTTCATCAGTCCAGCTGCTTCCATTTCAAAGCATAAGACATCTTGCTCTGCCGCCAGCTTGTCACGGAATATTGCGTCTTTAATCACTTTATTCCCAGATCCTATCAAGCCATAATGGATAGCAGGATCGTCCTCATTCTCAGTTCGCTCGGGTCGAAGAATCAACTTTGAATCATCACAGAGCTCGGCACAGTTTACCCCACTGTCTGGCACATGAGTAAACTGGCTTTCATAAAGCCTGTCAATTTCGGGAGGTGGTCGTGTATATTTTCGCTTCAGTCTCTTGTTGCTTTCAAGCACAGTTTGTATGCTCTCCTTCAACCGATGGCCCTCCTCCTCATACTGCGCTTGGAGCCCAGACACGGCCGCACGCAAGATCGGCGGCGGCTGGTTTAAGGACCGTGTTTGATGGAATTCTTGCCCTTGTAACTCCTTGCCAAAGTCATATTGAAGCAAACCACCACGTCCATTCCGAGAGGAGCTCACGACAACGTCGCCAAGACGTATGTCCCGTTTTGTTGGAACACCCCCACCAATCCCAACCATTAGCCCAAATCGGATGTTTGGAAAGCTGTGCAACATATCCCTAGCCACCCCAGCTGCGGATGATGTTCCATATTCTCCGTCTGGTAGAACCGCGATAACCACCTGATGGCCCCCGATTTCTCCCAGGGTGTAGTGATTATTATCATTTGGCGAAAGTGTTTCCGGTCGGTCATGCTTCTTATCGAGAAAAGCTCGGGCAGCGACGTATTCCGTCTCCAAGGCAGATATCCAACCGACAGTATACTGCTCTGGATGTGACATAGTGGACTTGAAGGATGATGGTTAACGGCAGTGGTTTGAATATCACATTGTGATAGACTGTATTCGTTGTCTTTCGCCTGAAAGAAAAAGGATACAGTGGAGTGTATTCGTAGCATCAGATCTCAAGTACATTTCACGTGAGAAGAGGGGTATCAAAAAGTGAGGCTGTTGGGCACAGCACATATCATTGGCTTGTAAATGTGGACGATGCGGGGGAGCGGCCAAAGTCTCCAGGGGTAGGGGCATACTGCGGAGTTGCCTCCCAATAGCCGAAAGGTTGAGATTAGGATGCGTCTCGGCTGTTGAAGGGGCTCTCCATAGTTCAACGGAAGGAAATGCTGCTGAGAGAACCATCGTATCATTAGTACCATGGAATCGCCGTACGGGGGTAGCCAATACTTCTTTAAATCGTAATGGGCTACCGTGGGAGGGCAGAACCTCGGATAGGGCTATCGGGCGTGGTGTATGTAATAGTTGAGATTTCACGGCTTGATGATAAGCATTGAATACTGTTCTTCCTGCAGTAGTAGTCAAAGCTAACTTAGGTGTTGGGTAACTGGATAAAGGCACCGAAGTTGCCAGGCTGTCAAAGTGCCTCTGGACAGTTACATTGTTTGCACCACAGAACATTCTGGAAGACGTATCAACCAATACCGAATTACTTGTATGATACAATCAGGTGACCCGTTATCACTTTACGGGCCAAAAATACGAAAAACACATAATCATGCATAGTCCCTATACAGCTTGGCGTGGCTTGGCAACTAGGGTTCAAGAATTATATCTTAGAGTATACCTCAGAAACTGAAATCGAAAGACTCTGTATCATAGTAGGATAGTTTAGTTTATAGTTGTGGTTACGCCTCACAAAGTCACAATCACCAATCCCATTGTATCTGTGAGCAACACTCCTCATATCATGAGTCTGATTGTCTGAATATACTTGCGTCTATGTAACTTACTTATAAATAGTGCAGACGCTTTGTTAAATTCTTAATCAAGCCCTGTCACCTCAGTCCTCAGGCCCTCAGTATCTAAGGTTCGTCTCAACCGAAAAGGCCACCACGGCTACCACGTGGATGTGGTCCGAAAAGGCTAGGCTGGCTAGCACCGCTACCACGTGGTGCTGGTGGCGGTGGCGGTGGCTTTTGGCGATACTTCGTTAACTGTGTGTCTGTGATGCCTGGCCCATCCATGTCCCCCTTGATCTTGAAGACAAATGACGCGCCCCTTCCAGTTGTGTGCTCGCAGGTCCAACCATCTCTTAAACGCCAATGTTCGTCGAACAAGGCAGCGTCCAGGCTTGACCGACGCGTATCCGGGGGCAAAAATGTTTCCAGCTTAAATCGAGCAGGGCGATCGCGGCAAGACCCAGCTGAAACATTCGGTAAGTATTTGAAGAATCAAAAGGATCATTTTCTTACGCATTGGCAATCCCATTCTGTCGGCTGGTGAAAGCTTGAAACTAGGATATTGTGTTATGGGGCAGCTGAGAGTTTAAATAAGGAATTATACCTAGTAGGCTCCGATATTCGATAGAACTTACTCTCGAAGTTTTGTGGTCAGATGTCGCATAAATTATGAAGACCTGAAATTTGCCAGCGTTACACAAACAATCCCGCTACATATTTAACCTTCATCATCAGGTCAGGGAAGTGTTCATCCAACATACGCCTTCTCCGTCCAATTGAGATATAAAGGTGGCTCCGTCCGCAACCAGCATAAGGTATAAAGAAAATAAGCTCAACGACTCAAGTTCCAATATGGCAAGACAAGGAAGAGCTAGGAAGGCCTTCAACTGTAAGCTTCAAACCCTAGCCAACCCCCAACCTATTCCTGAGACGGAAAGCTCAGGAACAACACAGGGCTCAGAATGGCCTTCAGTAAGCTCTGACTTCTGAGACCGAAAAAGCCAGCAGCAGAAGTCCAACTTGGAGCAAGGTCAGCCGTCAAAATGCCGGGTGCAGAAGTTCTAGTTGGAGCAAGATTGGCCGCGCTGAGTACACAAACGCCAGCTGATGATCACAATAACAATGATGACTCTTACGATGAGGACGGTGAGTACAAAATGAAAGACATACCACAAGATGAAAGACAAAAAGGAAAAACAGAAAGGGCAATGGAGAAGACAGCAGCAACAACTACAAAGCGTGAAGCTCCAGAGTCAATCAAACGCATCTATAGAGATGTCACACCCCATGTTTTGCAGCTCTTAAAAGATCCTGCAAATACAGGTGCCCAGCAGGAGGTAATGAAAGCTCAAAAACTCATCACCAAATATTATGATGACCTCCAAGAACCTGTGAAGCGCGAGGAACAGTTCGATATTATACTCTCCCTTCTTGTACACGCTGGCAAGATGCGCAATAAACTTCCGAAGAATGCGGATGGAAGGCAGAGGCAGAGCTATGAAGCCATGGCATTGATCCTTGAGAAGACTGCTGCCCACTTTGATTGGCCGAAGGATTGGCGCTTCGCCAAGAGAAGTGTGTAGGTCTCCTTCATGGATGTCAGGTAATACACGAGACTAGCTTAGCAGAGTAGTCGACGATATTCAATGATATAGGATATTGTCATCAGCCAAACGACTGTCTGGTGTCGGACCCATGACCCTCACCTGCAAATTTGCGGGTGAGACCCTCAATCTATCAACACTGCTGTTCTTCCACAACTCTCTACTATATAAATGCCACTTTGATCCCTTCCCACTTATTTATTTCTCTTTTCCATTGTGTGTCATTAGCCCTTACTCTTCACTGGAGATACCAAACCTATGCAATTATGAAGTTTTCGAGAGAAGTGATTGATCGCATTTCTTCTTTCATTCCAACCCTATCTCGAGGTGATTTCTTATCTAGTTTGGGCCTGAAGCCATGGGAGTCAGAAAGACGACAGATGTTACTTTGGTCAACAATTTTCAAAAATAACCAATGGCTTACAGAGGTCACAGAAAAAGATAATGCAAGGCTGGTATTGATCGGCTCTCGACTTAGCCAGGTTTCATCCCAAGAACAGCAAGGGGAATGTAAACATAATTACATGACCCTCTGTCTTTTGGATGGCACTGGAAAAATACCAACCTGGGAGCTGTTTGAGAGTTCTTTACACCAGCATACTTATGATCCTTCATCAAACGAGGTTCGTTTCACTTCTGGAATAAGGTTGAATGTTCATAACCTATCCGACCCTTATCTGTCCGCACTACGAAAGGATCCACAACTACGAGAGACGCCCGCTCTTATCATCTCTGATGACGGAATAAGAGAAATTATTTCTTTTCATAAAGGAAAGCCGTGTACGCAGTATTCCTTTTATGGAGGAAGCTGTATTCAAGACCTTGGCTTCTCAAACATTCACGGAATAGGAGGGAAAGGGTGGGCACTCGAGCTCCGTGATAATGGTGTCAGGTCGGTGGTTATTCTAATGTCAATATTTTATGATCTCAGGCACGTGATGGGGGTTGTCTGAATGCCTAAGTCATGATATTTAGCAGGAACTCATTCTTGTCACATAGTACATGCAATGTTTCAGAGTAGAAGAGTAGAGGATCCTCACCACCACCACCCTAACTATATCACCGCTTCGAATCAATGACACCTGATCCCCTTTACACCCGCCTGCATGGCCTTTAAATGCTCCCAGCTTAGGGTATCGTCACCCAGACTCCAGGCCATCACCACACCTAGCTTTTCCGTATCCACAATATCCTTGAACTTGCGCTTAATGATGGCAGGCGTGTCCCAAGTCCAGAAGAGGTTGGCCTGGTCATCCCAGTAGTACTGTCCACCAGCCTGTTCATCTGTCTTGCCATTCTTGCAAGCACGACGCCATGAGCCAATGACTGAGATGCCTTTGCACTCACCATAATCAGACAGACAGCTAGCTTGGCAGAAGTTCTTACTGCTCCCACTTTTTGATCTTGTTAGCTATAATAGACAAGGGAAAGAGCACATACCAATAGCCATACTGACTACAGCATAAACCTTCCGGACACTTAGTCTTCTGAATAAAGCCACAGGCTCCATCTGTAGAGATTTTCAGGTTTTCTGGAGCAGGCGCCATAGTTCTCTTCTCAAAAGTTAATACTCCAGATGTACCTGCATCTGTACCATCTGAATTCTCTAGAGCCACTACTGCACATCCAAGCGGGTGGTTATCACAGTCTGAGTTAGGATCTGTCATAAACCACTTAGCATAGTAAGCAAAACCTAAGTTAATCTTCGTAGTATCAAGGCTAATCTCTTCATAGGCCTTAATCGTGTTGAGTGAGCCCAAAACACTTGTGTGGTGGTTTGTGACTTTATCACGGCGGTTCATAAGATCATATGACATGATATTCACCATATCCACAGATGGCCAGATCTTAGGACCTTGCTCCTTAGTAAAAGCGACCATATCAGTGCATTTACCAGGAACGGCGATTGAGAGGATCTTGTTTCGACCAATGGCTTGACGGATAGCTTGCAGAAATAGAGGGTAGGTCTCAATTTCACTAGTCTTCTGGCTGTCAGGAACTTGCCTGTAATCGTCTCCATTGCCGCCAGGGTACTCCCAATCAATATCTAGACCACATCATCAGCGTTATGTAACACTTATTATCTAGATACTCACCGACGCCATCAAAGCCCAAGGAGTTGATCATATCCGCAACATTGCGTGCATAACGTGTGCGGGATGCTTCATCTTTTGCCCCCTCAGAGAAACCAGAGGTATCACCCCAGCCCCCAATTGCAATCATGACTTTAGTGTCAGTTCCAAAGCGCTTGCGCATGGTTTCAACAGGCTCAAAGGGCGTAAACTGGGCAGGGGCATCGGAATTAAACATAGTAGAGTTTGCAAAGGCCATGATCGCGTGGGTTATGCCCTGGGTTTGGTCCAAGCCTGGGAGATCGATGGTGTGGTATCTTAAATGTTAGCAAGGGTTGCTCAGTTAGATGCATGAAGGCTCTTACTCATCGATATACATGGCAAATCTCAATCCCACCACATACTGGATGACAACAGCGCTGATGAGGAGGAATTTAAGCATTGTGTGATGCATTATATTGAGTGGAGAAGTGAAGACCTAAGCAAACAACCCAAGATGTTGTAGTTGCGTGGTAGTATATATACCGTACGGCGACTTAAACAGCCACACCCATTAGTGTGGACGCCTACCTGATGGAAGGGCTGCTCCAGGGTACCCAGTATTTTCTGGATACACTAGACCTAGCGAAGTGTAAAAGATGTTCCCAGATGTTGAAAGGCTTCAGCTCGTCTCTCAATAGGCAAGACCCTCACCATTAACAAGGCTTCATTTTTAATTGTACTGTGATCAGGAGCCAAGCGCAGGGTGGGTATTATAGCACTTAGCTGGATTAAAGGTATATAATAAGCACAGAAGCTCCATCTCAGGATAACATCAAAACTATTTCTATGTCTAGGCCAAAGCTTGTAAGCTTGTTGCAACTTGTCAAGCTAATGCCATGCAGTTTCACTGGCGTACCACAGAAACAAAGCACCTACAGCACCTCAAAAAAGAAATTTCATTTCTCAAAAGTCGACTTGAGATTGAAGATGGGATCCGTTCAAGAATGGTGCAGTTAGGTACAAACTTCTGCCATAGCTGCGGGTCTACTACTCCCCAAAAGCATCTGTTGCAGACAGCATGCTACCACTTTCTGTGTCGAGAATGTATAGACGCACATAGGGCTATAGACAGACAACACAGTGATCCACCAAACACCAAGCTCGCGAAATGTCCAATATGTTGGGAACCGCTGAGATGAACTCTTGAGATCAGTTATGAGACAAATGTTTAGGAAGATCTCGAATTCAAGGTCAGAACCACAGAAGGACCATCTGCATTCTGCCACCGTGCTTCCAATGCATGAAAAGATTCCAATATCTCCTCGACTGATTGATGCTAGAAGATTGTTGTGAGTACTGAGTATACTTCAGGCAGAGGATAATTTCCCAAGAATAACTTGCCTCTGCTACAATTTCTGCGTCTTCTTTTGTGAACACGACCAGATCAGTGACTGCTTCATGACTTTCTAATAAAGTGTCCATCCATTCATCTACTGCTCTCAAGTCCCATTGCCCATCTGGTAGTCGGAGAGAAGGACAACCACTGACGATGTGTTCAACTTTGTACCTAACAGCAGATGATGAACGTTTATATCCGCGATGGGATAGCAGATGGGACACCGCCAGAGGATTGATGTATCTTGATGAAAAATATAGGGCTATGACAGTTTCTTTCTTTGACCAGCGGTCATGTCTTCTGTGCCTAGGATGAGATGTGAGCACTGTCATTGGAATCACAGGCATGATATTCTATATGAAGCATACATGCACATTACCCCATTTATTCTCATAGCTAGAGATCTATTTATATGATTAAATGAAAGGTGTCATACCTATGGATATTACAGCTTATCTTCTACTTATTGACTTTGGGTAATATACGTCATTCTATGATTCTCCACTGTCAGCTTGTTGCTAACAGAAGATATAGTATTGCATTATGTCTATGCCACACACCTTATTCACTGGGAAAAGAAGAAAAGACAGTGTTTAGCTCTAGTCTATTGCCTAACAACAAGGCAAGCTCAATTTTAGACAACCATCTCTCAGCACTGCAGTTCCAGAATGTATGCGTCCTTCTAGAGAATACTGCGTACTTTCTTGTCTATTTAACCTCCGGTCCGCGCAGTGGGTTGAATATAATCTAAGAATTTTATACTAGCAGCCTCCCAACATCCTTTTGCCCTTAATACCTGTTACATCCAGGAGGCTGGACTCAATGGATTCCAGCGGAGAAGCAACAACTCAATGGTCCCATAGCCTACTCCGTGGCTGCTGCACACCCTTCAGTACAGGTATGTGGCCGAGAGACTTGTCTTGTTCATTATTTGACCAGAGATGCAGCTATATATGCTTGCTGTCTCCCATGCTGCCTTTTTGGGGAAACGCTTTCCCGGCTCGACAGCCCCCAACAAGAAGACAGCAGGTGCTGTGAGTGCAATGCAAATGTAGAGTTCCAAGTATTTGTGATGTCGATAAAGTGAAGAAGCTAAAGTGAATATCAGTGCTGTCAGTTTTTGTGCCTTGGCTTCTGTGGCTTACATTGGATCTTGATGGCAAGAAAAAGGACCAAAATACGTGACCGCCTGCAAATTACAGGCTCAACACATAGTGATTGTGTCAAGTCTCTCTGCTGTCCCTGTTGCGTTCTGGTTCAGCAGGATAAGGAGATCCGAGACCATCAAGAATGCTTGATGAATGGATATCAGCGAAATGAGGAAATGGTGCGCGTATGAAGCTACAGTAGGATGCATGAATGGCTGCTCATACCAGGCTTAGCATGTTTCATTAGTTAGGTCCTTCTTGATTCGCAAAAGGATTTGATTTCAACCACATAGTAATCTATCTTGGCACCTTATACTGATGGTTGATTTGATCTTAAGCGAAAAATCAAGGAAGAAAAGAAAAAAAAAAAAAAAAGCCCCTTGCAGTAGCTGATTCATTTATACCCCCGATTTGCGAAAACAAGGACCTTCAAGACCCCTTCTGTGTAGGGTATATTCAGAATTACCCCTCGAGAAAAGTCATGCTTTGTAGCAGTCGTCTCTTTTTCTTGGCTGATAAAGTTTTGCGGTTGTAGAGCTTTAATTTGCCTGTCACGGAAGAAACAGTATTGTGATTGTAGGAGTTTGTGGGAGATGAAAAGTTGCTTAATGCGCCTTGCTCGGAATTCTAACCATGGCACTCCTTGCAGAGGTTCAGTGACATTCACTGTGATGTTTCCAACTTTAATCTCATCACAATCGCCAACTCTTTCATGTGTGTATCCACTCTTCAAACAAGCAAAGAAGAGTTGTTGCAGTGCTTTGGGTGGTTCTTCATCTCTGCCAAAGTTTGAGAGAAGTAGCATGTGGATTTGTTTAGTTTCCCCTGAGGAACAGACATCACTAAGGCAAGAGCCAATTAGAGCAGGCCTGCCACCTAGTTCTGTCACTCTATTGAGCCAGTCCTCTTTTGAAAAAATGGCAGACTATAGGAATTCGGCCTGTTGATCACTCGCACTAGGTTGGAGACTGGGGTCATGCGATATTACCGAACCCGACCAGACCCCTAATCGTCTACTAGAGGCGCATGACCCGAGTCCCTTAGAAGGGAGCGGCGTTCCAGTATATGAACTACCTTGTTCAAGAAGAACTGGCTGTAAATATGCATATATTGGATGCAGCTAGCATAGTCTCTACTGCTCATGACCTACACTCATTCTTAGCACTGTCAATCTATAATGGTCATCTGTCTTTCATGTCATATGCACTAGCAGGCTCCATATAGGCTCCCATGGAATGACTTCCCGTCCTTCTGTTTAATGGGGAAGATTATCGCCGTGGTATCCAGGGCCGACAAAATCTCGTATGCATACCAACATACGAGTGGCATAGTTTTGATGGATAATCGGGTTTGCTTTAGCCGCCCTACCCTTTTCTAGGAAAATGAACTACCACAGCACCAACCTTTTTTCCCTTCTCAATGTCTACATACGTGAGACGCGAGGCGAATAGGAAATTCCTCCATGTCCAGTCAACCTCTGCGGCATTTCCGTCCGTGTCCCGCACAGTAACTTTAATACCACTCATATTCTCTATAGGCACCACAATCGTATTATGTAGTCGTCCGACATAAGGGCTTTTCTGGAAAACCGCACCGTGAGAGGACGTCTCAGGAGATACTTACAACGACTTCATCTAATGATTATTAGGCGCGGTCATAGACATATTCGGGTATTCCACACCTCTTGATAGAGCCTCTTCGCTTCCTTTATCACGGGCGCAAATTCCTCTCTAAGATCGAACCTCGTCGCAGGGTCAGGAGACTCGGAGCTTGCTATAACCTTATGAGTCATTTCCACTATCGCATCTGCACATGGTCGTAGTGTATCTGAAGGTGATAAGGTTCTGACTGGATTGTTTAGTGATATTGACATTTCCGACATCCTGAGCGTATCCCGCTAGCGGCGCATATGTCGTCGGAGCTAATCGTGCCCCAACACTGTCAGTTACCTTGAGAGTCCATTTTAGGTATGTCTGCTTACAGTCCTTCCAGTGTTGGGCCTGGGAGTAGAGCTTTATCCGTGGATTTGTTGTGGGGATAAGCAGAAACGGAACATCGCGCGATGTTTTATCAGGGAAGAAAGGCCTTCCTAGTGAGGGGCTGTTGGGAGTTGCGCCCACATGCTGACGAAAGAAGTTCTGGTAGTCTCGTGACAAGCATCAACGGAACTAAACAATGCCGTGACCTCCACATTGCGGTGAGTAAAATAAAAGAGAGATCATGATAGATACATTAAAAGCAAATGGATTGCTGAGGGAGCTGGTTGGCTTTATACTGGCTACATGGATTCTGAAAGGAATGAATGAATGAATGGATTATTCCTCCGGCTGTGCGCAGCCTAAGGCTGCATGTAGCCTCCGCGCTGAGTATGCTGAGTCATCTACCTAAGCATGTGACAGATTCTGAAAGGTGGTGTTAAGGAGCCGCAAATATCACTGATACCTCAGGAGTTGATCAGCCACATGTGCACTGCCACAAAAAGCTGCTTGTCCATTCGCCGCCACCCGGCCTCCATTGACACAGACGACGGACATGTGGGTTTCTCCAGTAGACTTGCTGCGGAAGCATCTGCTCTTCAATCTGGAAGTGTTCCTTTTTTCTGGTTCGCATCATAGACTGTGGTGTCGAGCTACCGCGCAATGTCAAGGTGGCTCGCTTGCAGTCAAGTCAGGCAAAAACGTACGGTTTTCTAAACCAAAATACAACGAGGGGAAACAAGTCAATCATTTACTTCCCAAAGGAAGAGGAATCCGGGAATGGATCTGGTGAGAAAGCTTGATGCACAATCGCGACATATATCGATAGACGTGGGCCAGTTTCCTGGTGGGATTCGAAAACAGCAGTGTCCTTAACGGTTACAACTTACGTGCATCACCAGGAAAGCCATCCTCCTCCATACAAAACATGTGCTGGTCGTCGTATCTATCAGTCACGGCCTGATGTTGGGCACTTGAAAGGAGGCATGGCCGCATGGGGTGTGTGAAATAAGCGACTTCAGGCCGCCATCCAGCGTGTTCATTGCGCTTAGACAGTATGGCCGAGTTGGAATTTCACCTTAGAGATGCTCACTGCTATTCACTTCCAGGGGGAAGAAAAAGACCTTGGAACAGCCATTTGTGGATTGTTGCCCAAGGGGCAGAAGGCAACAAGGCTGAAAATACCAGACACAACTATTCCCTCATGATTGGTTGATATCATGTCCAACCAGAACCCATATGAGCCAATCATTCAGGGGAGCACTGGATAAGCACCGCCTTCGCACCTAAATTGCTCAGATAATGAGTTACTCATATGATGCGAAACTTTCTTTTCTCCAGGTAGGACCATTTCGCATAATGAGTATTTTTGAGAAGTTGGGTGCGTGCCATTCTGGGCCTGACGAAGGATCATAAGGCACATTTGAGAGCTTAATAGTATTTCATCCATTGCTGGAAGGCTGCAATTGAAGCCAGAATCTGATTATGTTAGGAGGGCCTATGGAGGTTGCAGACTGTGAAGATTCCAGAATTGTACCAGAATTGTAACATTTGTTAGTTTATAATACTGAACGGAATATACGCAGTTGTCAATTGTCATTACAATGAATACTAGTTCATGCCATAACCTCGTATGGCCTTGCTGCTCATGGACAATGGAGTTCCTGGGTATGTCAGCCCATGCAGGCACAATGTCAGAAATTCATGGAGTTGGCTGTATAAGTGCCACCATTGTGAATGCTCTTGCCAGCGATGAAGTTGCCAGTAAAGACTTGATGCATTGACAACAGGGGAGGTGCACCATGATGATGTCCATCCGTAGTTGGCCTCTTTGTTGGTCTCCATATCTTCAGTATACCTTTTGTGCAAGCTGCTGCTGTCGTGGCTGCATAATGTTGCCATCCTTTATTTTTATGGCTATCTGCATAGTCACACACCCCTTTTACCACGATGGTTGGTATATTCTCCCACAGTCCAGCCCCTTCCATTTCAAAGGCGATAACATGTTCCTGTGTAGCGATGCGGTCTCGATGTTGGGCAGACTTTATGACCTGGTCTCCGGAAGCTATTGCACCAAAATATATCCTCGGATCGTTTGAGATTCTTGGGGTTTTCTGCATTGAAGAGGGTGACAGTATTGGTTCGAATTTGCTCTTCGAGTGTAGCCACTTTGGTTTGTAGACTTGATATGAAGGCTCCGATGTCCTGGTTCTGTCTGCTGAGATTGTCCTGTGCTGTGTTTTTGCGAATGAAAGTATCTGAGTACTGTCGTCCAAAATCTGATTGAACAATCTGTGTGCTGATGACGATATCCCCCAAGGTAATTTCCTCTTTTCCACCGTCTACAAAAGGCACACCTCCACAGATGCCGACCAACAAGGCAAGACGAATATGGGGGAAACTTGAACGCAGATTGGCTGCAACATTGGCAGCTGACGCCTTTCCCATATGAGACATATGGACTAACACCACATGATGCTGGCCCAGCCGACCAATGGTATAGCTATTAGTATCTCCGTCAGATTTCTCGTAGTGCTGCTGTTCTTGCTCCCAGAAATGATCAAATAATGCCATCATGGCGTCTGCCTCAAGGCTCAAGGCGCAGATAATGGCAACTTCAAACGCAGTACAGTCTCGAGTTCGATTGTGAGTGTCAGAAGACATAGTCAACTATAGTCAGGGACTTAGCACTTGCGATCAGACAATCAACTGTGATAATAGGGCAGCGACTCAGATGGCCAGTGCAATTGCACAAGAAAGGAACAGAAGAATTAAATCAGAATCACACTGATTACCTTTAGAAGTGGCTCAATGTTCGGGGCTGGGAATGACTAGATATTTATTATTTAACTATACAACAATCGGGCTCAAGAGGGATTAACGTAAGACAGTATCTTACTTTTCTCTGCCAGGATGGCGATTGCTACCCCGCATGCGGCTGGTCTCAACACTTCAAATCATCTCTCTCCCGAATTGAGGTATCTACCTTGAGATGACAAAATTGACTTGAATGCCATCACTATATCCAACTTCATGCTTCAATAAAATCATCTATATCAATCAAGAGATAGCAGCAAGCTCGCTTAGAATCTCATCAGCCGCCTTCTCAGCTACCATGTAGGTAGACACAGCCGTGAAAGTACCCGGGATCTTGGGGTAAACGGAAGCATCAACGACACGGAGACCAGAGACGCCACGGACACGGAACTTGGAATCCAACACGGCCATGGGGTCGTCGTCAGCACCGATGGGACAAGTGCAAGAGGCGTGGTGGCCCCACGCGGCGTCCTTGACGTAGTTCTCGATGTCTTCCTTGGAAGTGACGGCAGCACCAGGGAGAACCTCGGTGACATTGACGAGTTGGCGCTTGAAGGCGTCACGGGCAAGCTCGATGGCTTCGTAGAGGGCAGTGAGATCGGCATCATAGTCGCCAACACCGGTGTCGAAGTAGTTGAAAGTAATTTTGGGGACGTCGAGGGGATTGGCGGACTGCAGGGCCACGGTACCGGCGGTGTTGCGGGGGTGAGCCTTCAGGATAGCCCATGTGAACCAGTTGTGTTCATCGGTGGCGTTGATGCTGTAGTCGGGGAAGTAGCCACGGAAGTTGACCGGGCCACCGAAGCAGAAGATGTCGAAGCTATCATCGGCAGTCACGGAGCTCTTGTACAGCATAGTTGCAGCGAGACCGGGGGACGAGTAAATACCGCGGTCACCGAGGATAGGAGTCTCCCATCGGTTAATGCAGGGGTCAGCCTCATCGTGGATGCTAAAGGTGCAGCCGTTCAAGCAGGAGAAGTCCTCCTCGATCTTGCCCTGTACGGAGATTTCGTAGTGGTCCTGGAGGTTGGTACCGACACCGGGGAGATCCTTGATGACCTTGATACCAAACTTGTTCAGCTCATCGGCGGGACCGATACCACTCAGCTTGAGGATTTGGGGCGAGTTGTAAACACCGCCGGCAACGATAACCTCACGGGAAGCAGTAGCGGAGCCAGGAATACCGGCAGAGGCGGTCTTTGACAAGGGGCTAGCCTTGTAAAGATGCTGGCCATCGAGGAACTCGACACCAGTAGCACGAGGCGGGTCAACAGTTTCATCGAAAGTCACCTTGGTAACATGGGTGTTCATGCGAACATCAAGAGGGTACTTCTTGGTGCCGTCGGTGTTCTTAGCATCCCGCACGGCAATAATGAATTCACGAGCACCATTACGGTGAGCGTCATCGGTCGAGATGGGGATTTGATAGTAGCCAGAAACGGTATCACGGGTAGTCGTATCAGCATTAGCATCGCCAGCCAGCAGGGTGGCAATGTTGATGACATTGTCAGTCAGGTTACCAAGAGCAAAGGCACCACCGGTAAGCATGCTGAGAAGTTGTGGGTCCTCGAGGACAATGCTCAGGGGAGCGGTCTCGGTCTGGAGCCATCCATCGTAACCATGACCCTCCATTCCGGGGAGCAGGTAGTGGTTCCTCTCCAGTTTGGCAAAGTACTTGCGCATATTGTCAGGCGACCAAGAGCTGTCGCCAGTCAAGGTTGAGATGTATTCAAAGTCGGAGTGGTGGGGGTAGACAGCAATCAAAGCATTGTGGGCAGTACATCCTCCGAGGGTACCTAAAGTGTGACAATACATTAGGATCTTTAGAACTGTTTTTCAAATTGAAAGTATCTTGCATACCAGTACGAGGGTAGAGTGTTCCCATCAGTGTCGAGCCTTCAGGAGGGTTCAGACCAGTATATAGTTCGCCACTGGGCGTTTCGTAGGTAGTCTTGAAATCACGAGCCTGGCGCTCATCATCGGCATAGTGGTGAACGAAGAAGTTCCATGCGAGCTTCTCATCCTCAGAGGCTCTGGCCGAGTAGGCAGGGATGGTATAGTTGAAGGTTTCACCCTGGTCATCACCGGCTTCAAGCAGCAGAGTCTTGTGGCCAGCCAGAGCGAGGCGAGCTGCCAGTGGACCACCACCAGCACCGGAACCAACCACGACATACTCGTAACCGGTGATATTGACGGCCTTGGCGACGCCAGCAGTGGCGGCCAATAGGCCAAAAAGACGAGGAATAATCATCTTCAAGATAAGGAATGGCTATGAGTGAGTGGTGAATCTAACGTGCCGGGATTCCATCAAAGCTTATATATCATGGTGGAATTTGTTTCACCCCTGAAATACCATAGTCCTGATAATCCATTCTGGCACTCCCTCAATTTTCCACTCTCGCTAAACGCCGTTGAAATCCGTTGAAGTTGTTATGCCGCGGCTGTGGGGAGACTCTCGCTCATGGACTTGTGGATAGGGTCCACCCGCCGACAGCTCGTGTCTAGCCCGTTTCAAGCAGCAATCCCCGAACCATCGTCAATAAGTTTAATTTGTACTCTGCAGAGCTCACCTGCCATCCCTGTTGATCTTCAACGGGGATCCACATCAGGCGTCGGTGATTGGTCCATTCGAGACCAGAGTAGGATCCGAGCACCCTCTATGGGCTGGTGGACCTGCTACACCGGGTTGGCCACTGGGTGGTATCGAGGGAGTTTGCGGAGCACTTGAGTTTCTTGCTCAAGGCGACGAGAAGGAAGGTACTAGGGAGTCGGTAACACCTTCAGGACCCTAAGCCCCAGGCCCCGGGCCCCTTTGCGATTGCACAGGATGTAATCTCCCCATAGGTTCAATGATAGACTTAGGCCGTCCGATGTCCGATTGTTCAGCGGTCTCGAATTTCGTCGACTGGCTGTGAGTGGGAATTTTTCCCATGCGGGCACGCTATCCTGTATCGAAACTAGAGCCTGGTCAACCATGTGAAAATACCTGGAAATAGCTGCGAAAATATTGACTAGTATGGAGTCAACAAGCTGATAGGTCAGTTGTGCCAAGAGGTTGCGGACAAGGTTTTTTCAGGGGCGAATCCTGCTGGCCAGATTCACTCATTCTTGAATTGGAAGAGTCATTGACTACGCTAACTATCTTCTCTCTTAGTTGATTCAGGTCTTGCTTTTTAGGGGATTCATGGCCCCTGAGTTGGAACAATCAACACAGCACGTAAGAAATCATCTGGCGAATCTCACAAGAGCCTTGATTCTCGACCACACAACAGAATCACTAGTTCCTTGGAGTCCTTCCACCGTCACAGATGCCCGGGACGCAATAGCTACTATCCTCAAACATAGCCAGCAATTCTTCCTGCCACCAATCCTTACCATCTCTAATCCTTATCACCTCAAATCCGTACCACTTACCACCTCCAATCCTTACCACCTTCAATCCTTACTGTCGGAACATATTCACTCTTGCCACTATGGCCATGCCAATCATTGGCATTGCCTGTGGCCTGAGTATGCGCGCAGCGCTACTCATGTAACGTAATCAACCACCGAACCGCGGATACCACCGAACCGCGAATTTTCGCCGCTCTCTCAAAATATTTGAATACACAAGTATCAACGCGTGCTATCCCTATCAATTTATATCAATGTCTCAATCCAAAGAGGCCCGCATGCAAATGGCCATTTCTGCATATAAAAATCAAAAAATTAAATCAAAATCAAAAGCTGCTGAGGTATTTGGGGTTCCTGAATCTACCCTTCGTGAGCGGCTTGTTGGGGTCAAACCACGTACAGAAACACGCGCAAACGGCCACAGAATGACAGTTATTGAAGAGAAATCTCTTGTTAAGTATCTCCTAGATGCAGATAAGCGAGGATTCTCAATTCGGCCTGAGTTTTTGCGTGGAATGGCACAGATTCTGCTGCGAGCGCGTACTCATGATCCTACTACAACCCTTGGTGTCAACTGGGCATATAAGTTTGTTAAACGCCATCCAGAGCTGTGTACAAAATATAACTGACGCATATCTTATCAGCGTGCAAGGCAGGAGGATCCAAAGGTTATCAAACAGTGGTTTGAAACTGTACGCGAAACTATCCAAGAGCATGGTATACATGAAGATGATATCTGGAACTTTGATGAGACTGGCTTCGCAATGGGACTCTGTACTACCTCAAAGGTTATTACTGCAGTGGAGCGCAGTGAGAGACCTCGCAGAGTTATCCAGGGGAACCGCGAATGGGTCACAATCATTGAGTGTGTGAGCTCAAAGGGGATTTCTATACCACCAGCAGTTATCTTAAAGGGGAAAGAACATCAGGCTGCTTGGTATCAAGAACCTAATATCCCCCTGGATTGGAAGCTTACAAATAGCACCAATGGCTGGACAACAGATGAGATAGGTCTTAAGTGGTTAAAGCATATCTTTAACCCTTTTTCTAAACTGCATTCAACTGGTGCAAAGCGGCTACTTATTCTTAATGGCCATTCAAGTCACCAAACTGCGGAATTTGATGATTTTTGTAGGGAGAATGCAATTATCTGTCTTTGTATGCCTCCGCATACATCTCATCTTCTTCAACCCCTAGATGTTGGGGTCTTTGGGCCAGTCAAACGCGCATACGGAAAACTAGTTGAGGGGATGATGGTGGCCGGGAACAACCACATTGATAAAGAGGATTTTCTACACCTTTATCCTCCTGCACGCGAAGCAGTCTTTATCCAAAGGAATATATGCAATGGCTTTGCAGGAGCAGGTCTTAAACCATTGGATAAAGACCGGGTTCTTGAGAAAATCACCTTTCAACTTCGTACGCCAACACCACCACCACTTCTTACTGATGGCTCAATCTCATCTACTTTTCAAACACCTCAAAATCCTCGCCAACTTAATCATA